TAAATATTATCAAACAGAGGCAATTGAAAATTTTGGGTAACTCTGATAATAATTAATCCCTATCCCCCCTAATTAATTTCAATATAGTTAAGAGTTTTGAGTGTAAAGTGGTGCAGAAGAGTTATAAACTTAGATGAAATGATTATTCAGTGGTGGTAACGAAGCCTGCTTTGAGATGAACGGATAGCATATAAATTGAAAGTGTACAAACTAGATACCTTTTTACGGGAGGTTAGCAATAGAACCTATAACTCACTTCTCGTCTACCACCAACTTTTCGAATGTGTAGTGAGTATTAGTTCTTACTTATGCTTGTGAATTTTCCGTTGCTCACTTCTTTAAATCATGTGACAGGTCAGAATAGGCTATTTCAAAGTACAAATAAAAAGCTATGAAGTTATGTTATTATTTGAGGATTCCTCAATGAAAACTTGAGTTTTAATATGAATGATGATCCAGATCTAGACTAAGGGAGACGTTGATGAGAGCAGAATTATAATCAACTGTTTACCAAAAGTGACTGTATAGCCTTAGTAAATGATTCCAAAGAAATTTTTTCCACTGAATTGTCCTACTTCTCGTAAAGCCTATTAACGGGTGTAAAGATGAACGTGTATGACGTCGTCGATACATTTAAATAACAATTAACTGTAAACCTGTCATAGGATAATAGGTTTGTAGTCTATCAGAGGGTTTAATACTTTACTAAGAAACAACTATAAAACGATAACAGCTGGAGCATTTTCACTTTTAATCCCCGATGTCAAAGTTAACAGGAACAAAATGAAGAAAGTTCAGGTTTTGAAGAGGATAACGGGACAGTCAATCACTTTCTGGGTTTTGCTACTTTCCCTGAAGATCTCTAGAATAGCGTGTCACGAAGCCACAGCTTTCATGCAAAATTTTCCAACTACGTTTTTATTGCTTTATCTAGCTTTTATCTTAACCATTATTTCTATCAGTAGTTGAAATAACCTGAGAGGTGGGATTATAAGAAGCAGTAAGTTCTCTGGAGTGTAAGGCTATAATGAATCACAGTTTACATAGTCCCATAGATTAACAGGATTACTTATTGAGGATATAAGTTGAACATACACAAATGACGTAATTCCGTCTTTTTAATTCCTTTTTGAAGGATACAATGACTTCTACAAGAAAAATTCGGAATGATACCTTCTAAAAACTGGAGCCCACATCACTCATCAGTACAAAATATTTTGTGTTGGATTCATCACGTATAGTTGTGCTCTACAGAGAATCACTGAATGTCTGGCTATTTGAGTAGTAGTTTCTTTAAATACAACACTGTGAGACTGGCTTGAGTGTTTCTTGGTATCACCTGTTCGTGGGTATCAGGAGGTATAAAACTAAGATAGTGAACTAACCCATCATCAACTACGAATATTGGAAGTCGAACACAATCCTTTCCCAATTCCCTGATGTCCAGATAACCGACAGAAGTAAATTTCTTAACTGAACATCAAGTTTTGTATGAATAATAAATGCCTTGACTGGTAGATTGTAATGTAACAGTATGTCTGTAGAACTTTTGCAAATTTCCACTGACTATCCTATTGACACAGGCTTATCAAACATCTCACTACAAAAACATTCAATCACATTCAAATTCATTTACGCAGAATGTGAAATTAGGTTTAAAATAAATGGGAATTTATTAAATTCTAGTCTATGCAGTAACAGCAAAAGCAGTGGCAGCAACGAAACGAAACTGAAACACCTACGTCCAGGTATATCAGCATGACAATAACAAACACTCACTAGAATAATAATAACAATAATAATAATAACTACTGCCGCAATTCCACCATTCCACTACTTCTATTATAATTATGTTCACTCATGCATTCAATTTGAAATCTTTTCCATTTGTTTTCCCTTTCTTCCATCGTTTCTACGTCAGTCTTATTTCTCATACTCTTTTGCCTCCCTTTTTTGCTTTCGGAGTTTTTTCGGGAAATAATAACGAAGAAAAAACTTAAGATGGAAGATGAAAGTGAGGGTGAGAAGTTTGTTCTCTAAGTGTGTGTGTGTGTGTGTTTGTGTCGATACTAATGGATAGTTATGTGAGCGAATGAGTTATTGGTTGGGTGACTGACTAACTGACCAATTGACAGTTAGCAAACACAACAAATTGATGAAAGTAAAATAAACAAAATGAGTTTACAGCAAGCGAAATAACACATATGCAAAACAGTTGGCAAGACAAGAAAACCGAGGGAAAAAAGGAAACAGGAAAAAATAATTGTCTAAAGAAAGCCAAAATCGGTTATAAGTGGACCATAACAAATTGTCTTGTGCCAGGTAAAATGTGAATTTCTTCGTGTAGAAGGATAAAAAGTATGCCATAAGGTGGGACAGCAGAAAGCAGCAAGTAGTAGTGCTTATGTATTCATCATTATTAAAGCTGGTTGTTACTTCAATCTTTGCAGCTAATGGCAGAATGTTGGTAACAACAAATAGTGGAAACTAAAAATGAATGAAAAAAGGACTTAATCAGAATAAATCAGTCAATTAATCTGAGAAGAAGCTTTATCTTCCCTCGCTATTTTTACTAGAGTTATTATTATTATTCCTGTCACTACTATTACATTGTTCCACTCTGAAGAGGATTTCAAGTTCTTTAATAATTTCAGAATAGTAATAAGAAGAAGAATAATGAAGTGTTAGTAATCGAATTTCCTACCTAGTCTAATAATGAAGGCATAAAAAGTGGTTTATTAGAATTTGGATAAAGAGACATTAGAACAAATTAACATAAAATACTGCTGAGTCCTGTTCTGTAAGCAAGTGGGCGTTAAAAATTAGCGAAAATATGGTGACGATTTACTAAACAACAAGGAAAAGGATAGCGGAAGAAGAAGAATAGATGGCGACTGATGAAATACTGAGAGATATAATAGTTACGATTCTTTTTTATTCCTTCACATTTCAAGCGGAACATAAAGTATCCAGCTTGAGGCTTAAAGTTTCGCTAGCGGTTGTGTTTCGTTTCACGGGGTGAGGTTGCTAGCCTTACTACCGGCTAAGAAAGGCTTACTAGTGTGTCAGCGGGGGATAGAATAACGGACGACCTGCATGCTAGGTGATTTTCCTACTCCTGAACCACCGACGTACAAATAGATGGAACTGAAAATAAGTACTTAACATTCACTAACTGTGTGTCACTGACGAATTCCATGAATAGTGGATTGCTAGGTAAAATAGTCCAGATATTTAGGTGACAGTTCACAAGATGACATATTTTAGTTTATGTTATACAAATTCCATAATATTTATGGAACTTTATCCACCCACGTTCCTAATTACCAGTTGAAGGGTTGATAAACTAATGTCGTCTATTGATTTATCAATCTTTAAATTCCCCCAGTAACTTACTGTATACAACATATACTTCAAACATTTCAGTTAATTGAGGCTAACAACTTTACTGATTGACTGACTACATGTGAATACGAATTCAAATGTACAAACTAATAATTTTTGAGTCTTATTCATCTTGTCTATCAGTGATCTAGCAGGATAGAGCTGAACATTGAGCCATACACCTACAACAACCAGATTCTTATTTCAGCTTTACTATTCAAAAGGTATCCACAAAATCTCACATCCAATGTCCTTGTTTCCCGTGTTTTTATCAAGTGTGTATTTTACCCAAAAACACTACAGAATAACCTGGCCAGATATGATACTAAAAGTGGAGGATGTCAGAGAAAAATTTGAATAAAGATGTACACGGTTATCAATGTGTAGGTACATTTGTTGACTCCCTATCTACAGAATGTCAAGCATAAGTGATTGAATATTTACGTTTAAACCAATATGTCGACATTGACTACTTCTTTTAGTCTTATTTTTTCGCCTCAAATGTCATATAGATATCCAGTTCGCTTATCATTATATCAAATATTTGGAATGCTAGACACAAAACAAACTATTTTAAATCGAAATATGATTTCTACTGTGTATTTAATGGTTTTCAAACCGGAGTATGCTGAATATAAATCATAAGATGGTAAATGGGAAAACGTGCATTAATCCGTCTCTGGCTGGTGGCTGAGTAGAAAAGAATTCTTTATACTTCTTTGAAGTTAAACAGCTGAGATCGCGTGATCTTATGAAGTCAGTTGGCTGAATAATTATTTAGTGATAATATAAATGACACTGATGATTCGAGATAATCGTTAAAAGATGGGATCTGGAGTTTTCAACTTTTAGATACTCATCGACAAAGTAAATCTTCAACACACTCTAAGAGGCACACATGTCACAGCTTTCACATTTTCAAGCTATTTAAATACAGTGAGTCACAAAAGTTAGGAGAAAAACACAATAACTACACTTTAAAGTCGACTGGTAGAATTCAAACCTCATTAAAAGTTAGCTAATATGATAACAGTTTCTTGCTATAAACCAATGACAGGACCGAAAATTACCAGAGACTATTTCACTCAGATAATGAACTTTTTAGACTAACTTAACTCTTAGAAAAGTCTTTACCGAAATAGATATAAGGCTATGCATAATTTCAAATAAAAACCAACTGAGGTCGGTTCCTAAGTGTATTTTTGATGACAACTACCGAAAATTAATGGGATCTTAGTTGAGTCATCTTTTTAGATGCTTGCAAGTTATGCCGACCAAATTAGAAGGAGCAGAAATTTAGAGATAACTAATAAATATGATATACTGAGGGTTTGTGCAGAAGTCTAATCATTGTTGGGTTTCCTTACCTACTCTATTATGAATTTTGAAAACCCCAAAACATTTAATTCGGGCTGAATAAATGATATTTGTTGCAATTTAGTATTTAAAGCCACCAGTGTCGATATCTAGTTTTGGAAAAAGGTCAGCATACTTAGATACCTGGGTATTTAGTATAAAACCTTTTCATAATAGTGAAAAGAAATTTTTGTCACTGGTAAGTTACACCGAGCTGCAAATATTCTCTTATTTCTGATCAAAATGTTTTCCCCTTGCAGGACATGGCGGAATAAATCAACTTGGAGGTGTGTTTGTCAATGGACGTCCACTACCTAATCAAGTTAGACAACAGATAGTTCAACTAGCTAATCAAAACGTGAGACCTTGTGATATTAGTCGACAACTCAGAGTCTCTCATGGATGTGTCAGTAAGATTCTTGGACGGTAAGTCTTTAAAAATTTTCCTCATTTTTATGTTTTAATTTCTATCGTACCATATTTTATATATGGTTGATAACATAAATATACCCGTTAAACCTTCTTCTAGATACTGAATGAATGGAAGTTACTCTTATGAATTTCTGGATCTTCAGAATGTTTGCTTGGTGACATGCATAGCCATGGTATACTGTCAATGTGAAAAGTTGTCCTTCATGTGAATTACGTTTAGATGTCATTCATAGCTCAGATAGATGGCTCCACCAGTGAACCAACAAAAAACTACCGGTTGAGTTTGAAACACACCAATGACTTAGGATACATCACTTGACAGAGCTTATTAAATTCGTAATAAAAGTCAAAGCTTAGTAAATAACTTCTATACGCAACTTGCTTACCGAAATCAATTCACTACAATAGCACGATGACCACTTGTCAAAAGCTATTCACCTGTCAGTATTAGGAATAAATTTATTTATTTGATTTCTGACTTCTGGCTAATTACTTGTAAAAATGTTTGGTTGCTTTTGGAGTAATTTAGAAAAACTGTGCTGAGTGATACACGTCTGTAGCCTTTACTATATATATTAGCTCTGGAGTCTTGGTTGTCAGTATAAGCTGACACTAAATTCATGTCATTTAATACGCTTTAAAATAGTAGATGATATCTTGTGCAGAATCCTGCCTACTTATGTGCATTGGGTGTACCACAGAAGCAACAGAATTAGGATGTAATATACTTTCATTTTTCCAATCGTTATGTTGAAGCAAATGTTTTTAAAATCTGATGCCTAACAGCTACAGAATCACTGAAAGATAGCGCAGAACTACTCACTCTGTATACAGCTAGTCAATTAATCTAACCTACAAATTAGTTGGTTAACGATATGGTAGGTTGGAATCGAATTATTCTTATTTCGCAACAGATACTAGCTCACAAGAAAATGCAGTCATAATTCACTATCCAAAACCCGTCCCTACTTTTAATCTCTTTGCCTTCTTCAATTCACTCACTACCTACTTGTCTATGCATGACTGAAAATACTGTAGCTATTAGGAAGAGTTTTTTGCAGAAATGACTTTATGTCAAGAATAAATGAAGGAGACATGATGACATTAGACAGAGATATTTTTACCACAAAATTATATAGTGTTGATTGTAAGGATGTTCATAAATCATACTTCACTTATTTGGATGACATCAGTAAGAGGTATTCAAACCCCAAAAAGTATTACCATTTTCCTGTCATGAGAATGACTATCACTCAACTATTATGCGTTACATTCTTGCTGTATATTTCCCGGAGTTCAGAAGTCAAATACCTTTGGTATGTGAACACCACACGCAGATAATTCACTCTCCCTATTTGTTAGGATATACACCAGGGAATTGAGTAATTAATGAAAATCTGTCATCAAAATGGAGAATAATAGTGGCTAAAAGCATAGGTAGTTTATTATCACCTCAATCAAAATGCACAGTTGATTAGTTACACATAGAGTGATACAGCAGCGTTGAACTAAACTGTTCATCGTGACCATAATGCTGTTAACAGCCAACAATTTGTTCATCATTATTTTTATATACATCAATATGTAGTAGGGAAGTATTTATTTGTTTATTTGATTTGAATCTTAGTACACTATTGATGAACTGGGCTACAAACTGCTCAAATGATTTATTATCTTAAGTGTTTAAATCTCTTTGTTATTCGTTAGGAAAAAATCTATATATCATTGTGAGTGATTTATAAATATTCATATGCTTGAGTAGTGTACTTCGTTCTACGGACACCTCTTCTGCTTCTTGTTCTTCTATTGCTTGTTCGTCAAAATGTTTATTTTTAACAAAGAATAGTTAAAAGTATTACTAAGAAAACTTTATTACTGCAGTTTGAAATATATTAAAATGAGTAAAATCATAAAGATCTCACTTTTCAAAACAATGATACCATAGTACTAGAGAGAGGTACTGCTGACTTTTAGGATGAACTTATTATACGTTCTATTATGCATATTGATATAAGTGCAAGCTATTTCATATTAACATCCTTTTGAGGGTGAATACATTTTAGAAATTTAACAATACTTATAGCAATGAATAAAAATATATCTTTTCAATGAAAAATTTATATTTCTTTTTTACAAAATATATCGAAACAGGTATTATGAAACGGGAAGTATACGGCCAGGTGTAATTGGTGGGTCTAAGCCTAAAGTGGCTACTGCTTCAGTAGTCGAAGCTATTTGTAAGTACAAAGAAGACAATCCAGTCATGTTCGCTTGGGAGATACGTGATCGGCTTTTAAAAGATCAGATATGTACGGTAGAAAATGTTCCATCTGTATCATCAATTAATCGTATTGTTCGAAATAAGGCAAGTCAGTATACCTCACTTTGAATGATTTAGCTACATATTATTTATTATTGGTAGACTCTTATCGTTTTTTTTTTTTGATCTCTCGGTTCAAGAGTACTAAGATGCTTTAATTTTTATTAGTTTTAGTGTTAATTAAGTTTCTTTGGCTAATTACCTTCCTCTTCTCCGTCCCAATGCGTATTGTTAGACTGGTGGATTTGTGGAAAACTGGAAGATATGACAGATTTTGTCATGGATCAGGCAGAGACAGTTGCACCTACAAAATTTAGTTTGACACTTGCCAACTTGAGTTATCTTTAGCAGCATTTAGGTATCTTACCATTTATCGAAATAACAGTGTATTCCTCAACAGCATTAACACGTCCTAATTCTCGGTTGTATCACATTTAATTTAGAAGTAGAATATACGAAAATCTGAAGAATTTTTCATCATAGATATTATCATTTGGTTTTTATTAAAACAGAACCACACAGTAGGTCCTATGAAAGTCACAGGTATATTATTCTTGCGGAGAATGTGGGTTGCATACTGCTGATTAACTGATACGAGTATTTAGACATCAAACATCAACAAGTAGTGCTTGCTAGCCAGATTTAAGTAATCTAAGCACTGAAAAGTCGTTTCTACTGTTTTCAGCTAAGTGCGCACTTAATTAACAAATGGCGAGTTCAATTCCACATTAGGTTACTTGATAGAGTTCGCAGAACGCTCAGAAGCAGTGATTAAAATGTGTTGGTAATACTGCTGAAAATCATTCACATTTAGTCGGGTGCATTAGTTGTCATCTTCAAGTTTCTGAATATTTTCACTAATATTCACTTTTTTATTTGCCCTTCTCCCACACTGCTGTTTTTGCATGATAGTATAATTTTATATTCGCTTTCATTTTTTGGCGCTATATCTCACTGTGTGGCAACCTTGAATAGTGCGCTTTTGTGCAGTATTCTCACTAGCCAAGAAAAAAATCACTTGATCATTTTATGCTTCCTAGTAACAGTTATTAGTGGAAAATCTCAAACAGTGAACATAGATCTTGTGAGGATTTTAAACACAATCCAGGTCGCCCTACTGCGTTCACTTAAATTGTGAGTTTCCCTAACTATTTTGATCAAAGCACTGGACATAAGCTTGTGTAATTATTTATTCACAGGCTCTACAGGAAATTTAAAAAAAAAAACCTTCTTGTGTTGCAGCCATTGTTATGGTTGATGCATTTAACTTCTCAGCCCCTATTCAAACCTCTAAAACAGAAAAGAGCTTATTTCTTTCCATTTTATTACCATAACATTTCTTCTGCTAACAGTTACTTCCCAATTATTTCAAACTGTTGTATCGGTAAGCGATTACTTCAAATAGGGGCTGGTTAATGAGTAAATATACTAGATCACTTTTCAACGCATTGTACTAGTTTACATTCATTAAATCATATAAAATTCATTAACTGTCACCAAGTCCTTCTGAAGGATATTTTTCAATGAATATCATCAACCTACAGTATAGGATTCATTTGAGTGATGCCACACAAATCTGTTTGGATTACACTTTCTTATATTGGGGAGAGAGAGAGATATGTGAGAGAAGGAGATAGCACACTGAAAAAGTTTGTTCTTTTAGGTTTGAGACAGTTTACAACGATAGTTACTTTATCAAACTGCTTTACAGTCACTTTTGTAAAAGTCAGAGGAAAATTAGCGAGAAGCTCAGAACACTTGTTTCGCGCTTGTTACAATTCATCAGAAAATTTCAAAACTTTCCTGCCAGTATCCGGAGAACTATAAACTATCATGTTTATTAGTTTGTATTACTTATATGATTGATCAAACTGCATTCTTGGTCAACAGATTTCGATCAACACTAATAGGAATAACTGATCATATTGGTTACCTGCTGACAACTAATTCACTATCAACTTTTGCGATATTTATTTTTGAGAATTCCTGTTAAGCAACTTGAAGTTAAATTGTTGTACTCATTCAACTTCTAATTATATCACTCATATTTCACTTAAAATTACTTCGTTAAGATTTTGTGTTGTAGAATGGTTACTTTCTTGTGTATATTTTTTAAGCTGGATAGCATATGTGTACATTATTATACGACAGAGGGGTGTGTAGGAGTTTCATATCACATGAAACTTATCAGTTATCATGTCATTCAAGTTTTCAAGGTAATATTTATTTCTGCAGCCTATTCAATAGTTGTAAGATTATTTGAAGGAATATCGATTTGCTTATAGATTCCACGGGTGGGGGAGATAGGGACAGAATCCAAGAATAGCATTTAGTCTTCTTAAGACTCGGTAGATGAAGGTAATGATATTCCAAAAAGTATTCTTGGAAAATAGAAGCTTTCATTTAAGGACTACAATCAATCAAGTTAACTGGTTACATTAGTTATATATTTCAAATGTCAGTTCATCAATAAAATTCTAAGTCATCCTTGGGTGTCTTGACTCAATGATTCCAGCGATCCCTACTGATGAAAGTCATATGAAAACGAAAAAAACTTAAAAAGACCTGTAATTCTTATAGCGGAAATATGGTCAGTTAATTAGACATCACGGCAGGATGATTCGTTTTGTATCGACAATCCATTAAATTTCCTGAATATAATCCACTTGAATACAAGATTTATGTTTTCTTTCTTATCATGAGATTATTGTTTTCTTTTAAGTAACCTACCAAAATTCTACTTAGTGACTGAACAGGTTTAAGCGTTATGTTTTTCCCTTTCATTTTAATTCACTAAAAATAGGATAGCCAAAATACTGTGGATACTGACAATACGCTCTCTCGAAAACGTAATCATCGTCATCTTCATAGTAATTCGCCTGCAGGTAAAACTCATTTAAGCCAAGACTCTACATTTCGCGATTCACCTGTTACACCTTCAAGTTTCCAAACTGACTCTTCACCTAAATCTATAAAGCTATCAGAAACTGAACAAGAAAAATACCTAAACCATCATGTTCCGAAAGCATTATCAGCAGAAGGAGGGGTACCTCCCTCCACAACAGTAACCATGACAACTACAACAGCAGCAATGGCAACGACAGCAACAACCAAATTCAACACAACGAAACAATCATCGAAAGGCTTCTTGTCTATAGAGAAAACAAATTCAAATCTCCGAAATCCTAGTACAGAGTGTCTTCGTGAATCCTCTGCATTGTTAAATTATTCAGTTACAGGTAGAAGATTTGATAATAACACTAATACCGACTACACAGAATTTCCCTATCCGTTTCATAACAATCATAATATTAACAACAGTGCTGTAAATTCTTCACACTATAATCAGTTCACATCAAATTTTAATGAGAATTATGATGAAACTAGTGGACACTTAAATCAGACAGCAAATCTTCCGTCAGCTGATAACTGCGAGCTTTTCAAAAATCATTCAAGTAATTTAAATGTGAAACTTACTCAAGACAAGCAAAGTGAATGTGGGAACGAAAGAAGCAACAAAAATTATTCGTCTAACATAGCGGCTACTACAGCCGGTCAAAGTGGTATTTTGCAACAGAAAAATTCGAATAAACTCTCGAACGATGTACCGTACAAATTGGATTCGTATTATTCCCAAGAGCGAAAACCTCCACAAAACTGTCAAACAATCGATGAGTACTTTCAACGCTCAGTGTGTAGTCGATTCCCACCAGGGGATAGTACCGATTTGTCTAGAAATCCACAAATGTATCCCTTATCCGTTCTTCCCGGTAGTTCCACTGATGTCTATGAAAATATTAATACGAATCACTTATTACAAAAATCCACCAATAATCTATCTTTATCTGGTATAAATGCATTTAATGATTTCACATGTTTCAGTAGTAGCAATAACTCATTGTCAACTACTGACTATAGCATTACTGGATTATTAGGTTTAACGATGGCGGCATCAAATGGTTTTAATTCGTTATACGGGAATGGATATTCACTGGGCGGAAAAAACAAAAATATGAACTTATTAATTAATGATACAATTGAAAATTTTCCTTTGCAACAGCCGCAGCCCGAAGACCAGTTAAGTTTTACTTCTTACTTCCAACATCCTCAGAATCATCATAACGATTCTCAGGAGGTAGAACAGCTCATCGAACACGCTGAACAACATCAGCAACAACGGCGACTGCACGATAATCACAATTTCACATCGTATAAATCAAATCATAATCTTGGTATACATATTGACAGGAATGAACAAACTGATTTTTCACAGGATCCAACAATTAGACCAATTTTACTGAAACATTATGACTTTCTACTGAACAGTGCATCACACACATCGCCAAAGTTAGATGACATCAGCAGGTTTTTGGAGAATTCGTCATCTTCTTTGGCAACGACATCAACAGTAACAACCAGAACAACTATACAATCTAAAGCATCGCCAAGTAGATTGTCACAACCACCGGTGTTCACACCATCAAAATTACCGTCGAGTACACCAGTACATAAAAACAAATTAACAGAAAGGGAAAATGTAAACGTTCATCGAAAATGTAAACTAGGACTCTCTGGAGTTAAATGTACAGGTAAGTTATATAATGAATGCTTAGGAAATAATTAAAATATTTCTTTTATAATAATTATAGAACACGATTTAAGTAAATGTGTATTTTCGGTGATTCCTCAGCAGGCTTTACAATTAAATAATAAAATTTTAATCACAGACATTTTAAATTAAAATGGTTAATAGAGTTAAAGTTTAGGTATACGACTTGGTGAATAATAATCAAGGTGATCATATTAATAATAACAGGGGTAAATTCGTTCAGGCGTTTAGATAATCTAAGCAATCAGTCGTTATGAATACGCAAGTAGAATGTTTATACTTGTAGGGGTGGAAAATAAACATTTTCTCATAGAGATTATATAATAGAGTGTTACGTTTTATAATAAATTGTGAAACTAAGATTAACATGTGCAACCATAGTACAGCATGTTATTAATAATACATATATAATTAATGGTACAAATAGAGATCATATTTACAGTTATTCGATGTCACTGAGCTGGTTAACCACGTATGTGGTAAAAATCATGGGTGGGAGAGGGACTGGACAAACATTTTCTTAACAGATACATTGGATTGACATTTTTTTGACAACTGACTCAGTTATGCTTAGCAGTTGAAGGTGTACACACCTAGAGAATTGAGATGTCACCTTGTATAGATCGTAAAGGCTGAACACTTATCACTCTTGTGCTCCGTATCCATTAGATGTCCCAAAATGAAACTTCTCATCGACTTTACAGTTGTTCTCTTAACCATGTTGAACAGTTTCTGAACTTTAGTTCTATTAACCACACTGATTTCAAATGTCCATGATTAATATTTTTTTTATGCAGTTGTAAAGCCTGACGAGAAATGAACGAAAATACCTGTTCTATATTTACGAAGTTATCATGCGAATACCTTATCAATGAAGTCATGTTGTAAATTACTTTCATGCAAGCAACACTTTTATCCTTCATAAAGGAAAGAGTTTTTATGTCTTTTTATCAATAAATACACTACCCATCGGTATTCGTCACCGTATGAGGATCAGTGTTAGTCACTAGCATAACGAATGATAACGCAATTAGATGGCAGTGTATATGATTTTGAACAACAGGTACATAGCTGCTAGTTTCTTAAATGTACAGTCCAATTCTCTACATATGTTGATTTAACAGGGCTTCAACAAACGGGTGATAAGTTCCGTAATTATACTGATGAAAAAAAATTCGAAATCTCAAAAAAGAGTGAAGAATTCAATCTAGTTTAGAGACAAACAGTACTTTGGGAGATTGATTATAACAAATTACAACTTCAGTGCTTTGTAGCCATCAAAATTTAGTGTCGGCCAGCATAACACATAGTAATCTGAGTAGTGTTTATTGTTGCTTTAGTCGTGCAAGTAATATTGCAGAAATATCAGAAGTAAAATTCTCAAATTGAAAACTGTCTGAACCTCTGTTACATACTTGTTCTATTATTATTTTCATCGTGAAAGTCCCCTAATTGTTGGTGACTTATTTGCCAACTCTGGTTTTGAACTCCATGGTTGGGTTCTATGAGACACTCGAAGTGTGTAGTTGAAAGGTCCGTTTAAAATGGCTTGACTCGTCTTTATGAATTTTGGAAGCCAGAGTCACCAGACATTTTGCAAGGTTATGCTCCATTCTGTCCTTATGTTTCACTTCTATGAAAAATAGCGGTAACCCACTGATTTTGAATATATACTGAATATCAGAGGCGTAACGTCTAGATATTGTACTTATCCTCTTTGCATTTACTTCCCGACGTGTGATGAGTTGAGAGTCTGTTGGTAGAAGAATAATGTGTCATAAATACACCAACAGTATCACCCATTATGTTAGAAGTGAATGTTAAGTTTTTTAACGACCCATGGTTATCATATGACAAATATAGAAGAGAAATAGTGTCTTAATCACACCTAGTTTAGTATATAAGTTCAAAATTTTATCACTCAAGAATGATGAATGGATAAGTTTAACATAGTGAGGAACCACATATTTCTCCACCTTAGTACAGTATTTGGAAAACAAGCAGAAAACATGCAACACTGAATGAATGAATGCTAACATGCCCACAGTGAGGAATGGTGAACTTAGACTCATATTCGCTGTTGTTCTCTAGCTGAAGTATTTCAGCAACAAACTCAACCTTAAGTTTGATAATTACCTGAGTACTTGAATGGGTTTTTCCTGAAAAGTAGGTGTCGTCTAGATAACTAGTGAAAAACTGTTGTGGATTTGATTGATACACACTTAAGTAGGATGTATTGGTGGTCACTTTAAGAATCAACTTCGAAGAAGTGCGCCTCTTCAGAAAACAATCTTACCTTCTAAAGATTAGACTTCATTCTAAAAGCTACTGATGACATTCCTAATGCGATCTTGTGCATATAATGTTCTTATATTGCTACAATATTATTATTATAAAAGAACTATTCGAACATCAAATGACATCTCTTCCCTCTGTTGGCTAATAAGAATGGTGAAACTAGTTTTAAGATTGAGTATTCCATAGTAATTTCAAAACAGGAAGTGCGTCAGTGGCACAGCGGTTAGGACGCTCGCCGACCATGCACATGGTCTGGGGTTTGATCCCCAGCCGACGCACACCCGATATCAATTATCGGCCTGCAAAATTTGGGCTACTGATATCACATGCTGAAAATTTCATACTTGTATCAAAAAATACTACATGCAGTCAAGCTATAATAAAATAAATCTTAAAAACATCCTCATTAGGTTGATTACTAAACCAAAATTTCATTAAGATGAAGTTTAATTACTAGATGCAAATAGTTTATACATAATTTGAGACTTGAGCAGTCAGTATTTTTGCTACTGCCATTCATGTGTACCAATCGGTTGTGACTCATGAGATTGAAGTATCGCTCACTGACTGCATAAACAACTGAATATCATAAGAAGTTAGAAGTCACACAGATTAGTCAACGTATCTCTATAAAACAGATTTTTGAGGTCGTCAGTAGTGTAAATGACTGAGTTTTACCTCCATCATTTTGGTGTTCGAAACATTGCGATTGGGCTGAGAAAACCTGTAAATCTATACGAATTCGACGCAAGTATTTCAGTTAAATATGTAGTTATTTTATTTATCTTTGTGTTTAAATGTCTATATGTATACTTTAGCAACGAGAAAGATAATCAGAAAATGAATAAATTAAGGGTTTTCTCCTTTCTCTCGCACTATCATTGTTTTCCAGTCAATGAAAATTCCATGAATAATTTAAATCCCATTATGATGAAGACTATTGTTTTAAATGTGAGAAATCAATATTAACACTGACTGCCTTATTCTTTTTAGACAACTATAGAGAGTGGGAAAGATATGTGAGATGACGAAACGGATGAGACATTGACAAATGTTGACAATACTTACGAGGTTAGCATTGTTTGTCACGACCGGAAACAAATTTTTGAAAAATACTCCACTAATAATACTGGAAATGATCATAACCGCAAAATAATAGTCAGGATACATCATTACTAGTATTGTTATAGTTGCTACTACTAACGGTGGTAAGCATACTAGAAGGACTGTTTGTCTTTTAACATTCGGTGAAAAGACTGTCAATTCTGTTTTTACCAGTCAGTGAACGAAATTCTACTCAATAAGGTAACAAAAACACCAAATATTCCTGGAATCGTTACATCCGTATGAAGAGGTTTTTATTCTGACTTTTTTTGATTTATTCAGTCTTCTGTTCGGTTTACTGGAAATAAGAATGTCTCAAATATGACACTTTATATGTCTACATTAGGGATAATCATAAAAACCCGGAAATGGTGTCTTTACTGTACGACCGTAAGGAAATTCGAATATTTCATTCAAAAAAAGGAAATGCAAAATAGTGAAGGAAATAAGAAGTATTTGCTATTTTTTGGGGTAAGACAAAAGACCATAGAAACAACCTACTTTTTTCTATGATAGGTGTATAGCAGTCGATAATCTACTGATACAGTGTTTATCAATAGCCAGTCTAAAGAAATGATGGAGAAGCTGTGATATACATATTATGTTATTAATTTAGGATGAATGTGAGCATAGAACTAGAAGACAAAAACAAACTAGTGACATATTCTGTAGTCTAATATGTGTCCGCTTAATCCTCAAAAGCTTCACAACACTGAAAATACTGCCATTGCTTTCTGACTTGAAAATGGGTGGAATTTATTTTTAGTTTGGTCAATAATTCCCTAGTATTGAAGAGTTTCTGTTGAGTTGAATCTTTCAGGCATGATACTAGAAGAGAGTTTTTTTGGTGAATGAGAACATTCGATACTGCTGGTTATATCATACTTTCTACATCCTCAGAGTCCTCATGGTTGCCCTCTGGGTTACTTGAGTGCACTTCTAACCCTTCACTTGACAATCTGGAGAGCCTATTTCCAGCCCATCCTCTTTCACTAGTTCCTAGGTCTTCTCTGTGATATCTTATCCTTTCTTCTGCAATCTAAACAGTCTTGCCAGTTTCAGCACATGGTACAGACATTTCTTGTCCTCGTGTTTACTTTTACTTTCATCAAAGGAAAACTGGCTTACAAAAGGCTTTCACTTGATGGCGTCTTCAAATTGGGTGATCTTACCACGGAGAACAAGTTTATTTTTTTGTGCTTTGAAGTAACTCTAGCGGTAGGTTCGTTTTCCATGTGGTGATGCTGTTAGGTTCACAACCATTTTTCACTTTTTAACAAGAAGGATAAGCATTTAGAAACTCCGATAACAAACCAGCCAACAAATTATCACCAAAGAAATCTACAGAAGAAAACGGAGATTGAACATATCATTTTATAGTGTGATAAGTAATACACCTAGAACCCTACTGAGGTTCTGGTGTGAGAAGTATGAATATTGATTATGACGGCCTGAGAAAAAAACTAAGTTTTTACATGGTTTTGAAACAATAGAGAAGATTTGTAGCTCAGGTGGATGGTTTGTAATTAGTGGTGTTCTGTGAACTGGTTGGTTCAGTTGCGGAGCTTTTATAGTTATATAGTTACTAAATACGTGAAGATTTTGTAAGTGAATTCTTCTGTCAGCCAGAATTTCGTTCCTTAGGCAAACTAGATATCATCATAACCTCTGTAGCTAGATAGGCAAGATATTGCAGTTAGTTACATCTAAGCAACTTCCGTCTATTTCACACAAACAAAAAGTTTGGCCAGTACATGGATCCACAACTTTGGGAATATTCGTCAGGCATTAGGTCGACGAGTGAAACTGTCACTATAATCATACTCTTGAAAATCTCATTGCTGTATATTTCTGTGAATCTGTATTCGTTTAGTGATTTGTCAACTAATTCTAAAATGTTTTCTGAACACATTTCCAATGTTAGTAGCACTAAACATGATGATACTCTAAAGGTAAAAAACTCATAAAATGTATCACTTAAATTCATAATTCCATTGAGATATAAAACAAAGTTTCCAGTGAAGCAGATGTGTCAGTGTTTACTGTAATTATTTTTATTGGCTTATAACACTGTTGTTCACATTTTTCACTTCACAGTAGTACAATAGTCCAGTAGATGTGCAAGGTAAGATATCATAAGCCAAAATAATTGGACTTATAGCTGCTGATTTTTCTCCTAGGTTGGGTAAAATGAGCTGAAGTCTTTTGGTTACACGCTGAGGGGTTCTAAAAAACATTAAACTTACGTACAGAACACTGGCTCTAATTGCGGACATTCACAGTCAAACCGAAGTTCACATTTTACTAATGAATATAAACTTTCATTTGGCAACTGACAGTTCACTATAGGGTTCAAGACTTGCTGTCCAAAAATGAGGACAACGAATTATGATTACTTGAAGTAAAATAGTCACTCGCAGGCGAAACTTCTAGTTTAACACATTCTGAAATATTCAATATACAGTTTTTGACAAGTGAAATACCTTTTTTCCCACTCATTCGAAAAATAGCTTACTAATGAGTATTCATTTATTTCTTCACCTATCTACAGATGTTTTGAAGGTGACTACAAACGGCTCCTTTATGTCTACAGCAGATCATAACTCATCTATGATGGGCGATTCAAATGAACAAATTGACAAGTTTATTAGTAACGAAATCAAAAGTGAGGCAAATGATTCTTCGTTGTCGATGTCAACATCTTCTTCATTATTAACATTTAACAACAATGAATCAGAACTGCCTTTTATGTCAGAATCAGGTATTCCGAATAAAAATCTACATGGATCATCTAACCAATCATCTGCAACTAGTAACTCATCGAGTTTCATAGACCCAGCATTGCAGACAAAATCAATGTCGATCATGAGTCACACTCTTGATCAGGAAAGATTGCAGCAGTTTACGGGAACTGAGTTAATGGTAAAGGCTGCATTCAGTCAAGCAAATACAACAATATACCATCAACATATTGAACAAGATTGTTTACATCACAGTGATTCCGTTTTTACTAGAAGTCATAATAAAGATACTTTCAGATCAGGAAATGACCTGTCCAGAACTGATATGTCTTATTATCCCCCTTCTTCCACATCTTCTCCATTTTCTGCCCCACCTCAGTTAACATCCAGTCTGTCAGAAGTTAACACTGATATGGTCAAATTTCCATTTTATTTAATGGCGGATAAATCAAACAATGAAAACTATGTACAAACATACACTAATCTAGATATAAATGAGACGGATTATATCACAACAGAATTATTTTCCAGATCACTGACAGAGAGACTGAATATGAGTCGTAATGAACCACATGATGATGGAGAGTCTACAAACCATGTTCCAACGAATTACTGTGGTGACACTCCTGAATTTCCATCACAGTATTCATTAATCTAAATATACTACTCATAACGGACCAACTTATTAGCCGAAAAAATGTCTGACGTTTGATATATATTCATATAGGATATTAAATATTTTAAAAATCTGATTAAATGTCAACTGCTGCACGACCAGTCGCCTGGCAGTTTTGTGGCCGCTTTTATTAAATTACACAAGAGACATTATACTACTGTTAATTTAATAGTAGCTAAAACATTACGAAATATTCAGCTGTTAAAACTGGTTTTCCACTAATCATTTTCCAAAGATAAACAAAAAATTAATGATGATACAGATCTGTTTCTTTCTCGTTACTTATTCTGCCACCGCTTTAAAAGTATTTTATCCTTTATGTGAATCAGTTTTCATCTTGATTCTGTTACTGAATGTATAAATGGAAAAGTCGTTTTTTGTTCTTGATAAAGCATGTAAAAAAATACAGGTTAGCATCAGATTGAGGACCACTGAATACTAGCCATACTGACTACTGTCTACAAAGTCTGCAATTATGATCACATGCGGAATGGAGAAACAGATAGAAGTGAACTAAGCGTAAAAAGATAAACATTTTCCCAATATAGCGAAAATATTCATTCAGACATCTATAAAACAAAAAATAATTGAGCAAAGAATATTCTTTTCGAGAATTCGCTCTTCTAGCTCTACATTTATATATATATATGTTTATATACATAGAACATTCTAGAATAGTAGTCAATAAAAATATTAGTGTTTTTTTAACTAGTATCGATTTGTAAAGTAAGATCAGTGGAATTACAGTTCATTAAGGATGCTTCAATTATAATAATAATAATAAAAATATAATAGTAAATAGAATATCAACCAAAATTAAGGATCTTCCGAACCTAGGTGGCCAAGGTAAGGACAGTGTTTAAACTAACTTGTTTTGGACACATAAATTAGGCTCCTTAATGTGGATCCCAAAGGTTTAGTAAACGAACTCTTAAGGCGACGTTAAGATTCTTTGGTATGTGGTAAATGGCTCTGAAAGCCTCGTTGAAATCAATCTTGTGTTCTGTATGCACAAGATGAGATAGAAAAGCACTACGAATCGATTTTGTTTGCCCTTTACTTAACCACGCAGGGTGATGTTCGGACTGGATTGCAGCAGGTGAAAGTAATGAGTTTCATTGGATGGTGCAATTCAGACATCGGATATACACAATCCTGACGTTTGCTTGGGTGGACGAACATAGATTTGCACCATACATACTGTTTCATGTTAAAGAAAGAGTGACTGACTGATACAGCTTTACAATTTTTAATAATAAAAGGTATCCTCAATCTATAGAATTTGTTTTCTTTCCTGGCAGAATAACTCGAAAGGTTACTGATAGTAAGTTTTACTAATTATTGCAGGAAAGCAGAAAGTCAGATGTCGGGAATCCTGTCTGTTACTTGATATTTTCAATATTGATGCAGTGAGCAGATTACCAGTAAAGGTAATAAGAAGAAAGCATAAACAGCGAAGAAAATTTTCTTTTCGACGATTCATTTTCATAAGATGATAAAAAGAAGCAAATTTACAGTAAGAATGTATGTAGTGCTTTTGAATGCAGAGGTCCGGTTTCAGATCCCGAATAGCTAATGCTTCAGCTACTTACAGATGGCGCATGCGAATTCCGTTTGTACGATATTGAGGGACTCTGTGCAGAACTCATGCGGGGGTGCTCGATGTCAGGAAATGACAAGGTGTTCGAGGATGGAGTTGCTGCTATTCTTCCTTTCTCTTCTGGCTAACCAAACTGGACAATGTTCCAGAATACGATTATGGACTTGATGTTGCGTACGGCCGATATAATTTGCTATATATTTTGTGCGCCTCAGAAATGTCTGTAGTGAGTATTAAATAACTCAAAGGTATTATGATATTTATCTGAATTGAATGCTTAGCGAAACGAAGTACACACATTTCTTTGGACAAAGGAAAATAAAATAAAGTAAGAGATTCTTTGGTGAAAGTTTGTAGTCAATACAAAGTTTCACAAAATTAAGCACAAATAAAATTCGAACGAAGCTATCCCTGCAATATTCAGGTGATAAAATAGTGATTTGTCAGTCAGCATGGTCGGAGCTAATGTTTTTGAAGCCTCTCAACAACTCTCCATGAATAAATGTTTGTGTTCCTGACCTGTCACCCATATTACCCTATTACTTCTCTGCTTTTTCTGAATTTGGTGACGGAGCGGAAGTTAGAAGCAAACTGTTAAGTAAAGGTAAGTTAATAAGTGGTATAATGAATGTTTGTCGATAGATGTTATCGCAAAATGTGGTACGTAGAGTAACGTAAGAGGAAGTAGGAATAGAGAGGAAAAAAACTAAGAGAGACCAAACCAAAAGATGACTGTTGGTCTGAGTTGCATAATGATGCTGTGAATCAGTGGTAGCCAAATCTTAGCAACATTCTTTAAAACTGATCACAACAGCACAACCAATCTCTGTCACCGAAATCCCTAACAATATCACTAACCTTCATTGATTTTTACTAACTGTTAAACTCATTTTTGTCGTAACTTGAAGTGAAAAAAAAATCTGTGTGCATTTCTACTCCGCAGTAACATTCCTCACATAATAGGTATCCAAATCTTGCACTTGTGTGCAACGTTCTGATTTCATCTCACTAAGCTTTGCTTTATTAAACAAATATGCATTCTGTGTGGTACCAGTGTATGTAACAATACAGAAGCATATCTTTAATAAACTTATATATACATATATGTATGACTAATATTTATATATTTTATTTTCACTTATATATATATATATATATATATATATATATATATATATGAAAAGTGAAGCGAAAAACTGGATTATTAGGACGGAGATATTACTAGTTGACGTTCTCTGATCAAACAGTATTTCGTAACCTAGTTTAGTATTCTGGATGAACACTTACAGTTTCTTAATCCCTAAGTAGTTAATTAGTTGGAGTAAGTGAGTTATATTTAGAAATGAAGTCAACTGGCGGATGGTGACTAGCAGTAGAATCCAAGATGTGCACTTCACCCTATTTGGGACTAGTCAGCTGGATGTACCTGCATTCCCCAGTGAGTGATGTTCCCACCGGGGCTCGAACCAGTGCCCGTAGTTTGAAACGCCAAGGCGTTTTCCACTAGACCACTTGGAGAGTGAGAGCCACGTCTTGCGCAACGGGTCATATTAATTATTTAATTCAATCGACGGGGAAATCTAAAATTGAATTAAATTATATTTAGACACTTTGTGTGTGCAAGATGTGCTTAGTAGTCTGACGTGTTAGCTAGCGTTGCACATCACGATGTAATAAAAGTGATACTAGTAAGAAGGGATGTTTCTATAGTTCCGACCATGCAACAAAGGTCATGTGGATAACAGTTAAACTAAGAGCAGTTACCAGAATAATATAGCATGTTTACACTTGATTGGGGCCTGAGAGGGAAGTGGTAATGTTGGTAGATAGAAGTGTGATATTCAGATATTCATACTTTCAAATCTGGAAAAGGGGAACAGATAACGGTAGTTTCCCACAACTATATATCCTGACTTGCCTTACAATGGAAAAAACCTAATTACCAAAGAAGAGGGAAAACACTTTGATCTGATCGATTCAAAGGATAATTGAATCCATCAGCACCTATAACTCTCCCGGAAATGCCGCCTGCAGCTAGACCTGCCAGAGAACACTAACTCTCCGACAAAGCGGAAGTCTTTAGGGACGTAAATTTATTGAAAGCCAAGGAAACAACAAGACCAGATGGAATGTATCCGCAGGGATTGAAAATAGACCAAGAGAGCTCAGTAGATATGCTCATGCCACTTTGCATAAGATTTAGAAAGTACAAACTATTTAGGCCTTTACACGATCTGGCGTGAAATCATGCTGCTGTCCATCCCAAGAAAAACATTAATCCACACCATTCCGGGGAGACTAGAAGTTGCTCTGGATCCAAAACTCAGTTAAGCTTTTGAAGTGAAGACAGGAATAAGACAGTGGTATATACAATCACCAATGTTATTTCTGATTGCGGTGGACTGGATTACATGGCAGACTGTGGGCAGGAAGTGAGGAGATAGGCATACACTGGGATGATAAAAAGACCACAGGTTTGGATTTCGAGGATGATTTATCTCTCATGTAGCAAAAAGTCAAAGATTTACCAGAAAATCCGATAAGTTGGGAAATGGAGGCAAGAAAGACAGAACTTAAGCAGAACGTGGAGAAGACAGGAGTATCTACCAACGCAACAGGTTTATAGGAAGTCATCCGTTTCACTAGCCTGGTTATGCAACATCGTTTTAACTACAGGCAAGTGGCACAGATGAGGATATTGGCGCAACGCCGGACCTATTGGGTAAAGCAAGAGAACTGTTTATCACTCTGAAATCAGTGTGAAGGTCTACAGTGTTCAGCACATGGAACAACAACTGAATTTCTAACAATAATGTCAAGTCAATGCGTCTGCATGGGTCAGAAATTTGGCACGCATATCACCAAAAGGATTTCTGACAGGCTTCAGACTTTTATCTCCAGCTGCCTTCGCTCCATACTGAAGATCAGAAGGACATAAGGGGTAAACAAGGAACTCTGGGAATGAACCAACCAGGAACCTATCACTCAACAAATATACAGAGGAAAGTGGATATGAATTGGATATACTCTGGGGAGATTACGAAGTGACATCACCCCTAGGCTCTGGAGTAGAATCTGATAAGTTGAGCATCCAAGTGTGACATGGGTGAGGTCATATGAGGGGGAAATGAAGACTTATTGGCTACCGTGGAGCCATCAGAGAAGTGAGTGAGATGGTGATATGCTGCTGGAGCCCTATGTTCCATTTAGAATCCGAAGGAATAATAATAACAAGGCAGGCGTGAAACATGTCCGCTGAAGATGGAAGAGGCCAGTTACAATCAGTTTATCGTGTTGTGATACACGGTAAGTAAAAATAAAGTTAGGCTCAGGATGGAAAATCAATCAATGGGTTCGCGAAGCACCAGTGATTATGATGGCTAGAACAAGAGTTACACATTCTGACCCATCACCTTCTACGAGCAATTTTCGCTCAGGTTGGAAAAGAATCCTGGTAGGCAGACCAGAACTTGGCTGTTGGTTTTAGCCATGTAGGGAGGTTCAGGTAGAGTCTTCGACAGGCTGAGAATCAATTGTGGGAGACATGGCTCAAAATATGTATTCACTTTTGGTCCTTTCGGATTAATTAAGTTCTCATTATCTTTCATTTATTTACGATTTCTCCGACACATTTCTTTGTCTATTTTAGCTAGATTGTATTTCCTACCTCTACCTTTATATATGATATAGTAATTTGAACTGTTGCACTTGATTTGCAAGAAGTTCTACTTTGAAATCTCAATTTAGTTCTTTCTTAGGGTTGATGAAACTTAAGCTAGATTTTAAAAGGACTAAAGAGATTAAATTCTAGGAGTTGGAATGGTTATATACCAACTATTAAAAAACAAAAGTGCCAGTAGTCACGAGAACGCCTGAAAAAGAAGCACATACCATCATAAATGTATTTAGCACTACAAAATCCAGTTGAACTGGAAATTCACACAGATGAAGCTCAGTGTAATAAATCAATTCCAAGGCAACGTTGAATCAGATGTTCACTCTTTAAATAAGTTACTTAGAGAGAAAAATGAGTAGTTCCAGTAAAAAAAAATTAATCTCAGAAATGAGGAACTATAAGCTGCTGAACTCCTACCCCGTAGTTAGACGTAGACATGATAGCCAACTAACCTAGATGGTCGAGAGTTTCTATTGTTGGACAGTCTCAAGAACAAAAGGCTTCTATAGCATTTTGATAACTTATATCACCTCTTGCGTAGACGTTAAATCAGGCTATCTAACCAATAGCGTGCGTACTGCATACTCATTGGAAGTGAATGACTTGAAGAGGCTATCTGTCTTTAACAGCAGGTACTTGCGTCATATCCCCATGCTAAATAGTAGAATAATGAGATTTTATGTAGAGTGGGGGAGAGAAAGTCAGTCGGTGAGGCTGTGAAACTACATCCACTGAGATGCCTATGACACGTGTCACTAATGCAAACATCCCCCACCCTCGGCGAAAAATGCTAACCAACACAAGATTAGGTTGAAAAAGAGTTATGGGTCGTCATATAAAAACCTGGAATCAATCCATGAAATCTTTAACTGTTGGTCTCAGTTAGCCACATGGGGAGGTGTAGACTGACTGGTTGGTGTCCACGTGAGGCTAAGAATCAATGACTTAAGACTGTTAGTGATATGGATTAAGACCCATTCTCAGTGGGGAGGATGCATTCACTACTTGTAATCCCCCTCACTGATCCAAAAAGTCCGAGTTATTATTCTTTCGCTGATAATGTCGGTTTATGAATAAATAAATGAAGAAATCCTTGACTTTTTCAATAGTCGAATGATTCATAATTCGTCTAATCAAATAAACAATACAGATAGCTAGTTAGAAACACGTCACTGTTGAATGAAATCATCTGCCTTTTATCACACAAATACAGTAAAAGGAGTAACTAGGGAGAAAGAGAAAAAGACTAAATAAATAATAGAATAACTGGATATTCATGTTTTCATGTACAGAGAGGCACAGACAAGCATATTTTTTACACAAAGCTGTAATAGTTCACTTGTAAAAAAAATATGAAAAGTTCTTGCCTCAAAAGTGTATACATGCACACGTATATTCAAGAGCGAAACTGATCAAACAGAAAGAGAAGAACTGTTCTGAAGAGTAACACAGTGACGATAGTCTCTTTTTAGCTAATAAATAAGAGCAGGTAGAACTAAGTGAAAACAGGTGATAACATGAACTAAATTGTATACGACCTCGCGGTCAATAGGAAGAAAATAAATGTGAAGCTGAAATTCATTGAGATTGTATGCGCACAAATAAGTGATTACAAAAATAAAGAAATTAGTTACTACTACAATAAAAAAACTATTTTACAAGTTTATAACATCTATAGTTTAAATAATAACAATAATTATTATACAGAGAAAGATATATGCAAAAAGAGAACGGTGTACTGCCCATAAACATCGTAATGAATGCATGCCTTTGTACAGTGTAATCTTCACTTCTTTTTTTCTTCTTCAGGGAATCAAACTACTTGTGCGACAAACACAAAAGCAAAACAGTAGGTAAAACAGGTAACAGTTTCAAGCGAGCATTGTGAAAACAGGATAGAAAGACGACAATAGACAATGAGCATAGGTGTTTGTAACTGATTTTTTACAAAAGAAAAATAATAATGATACGTTTTTGGAAAAATAAGGTAATAGAAAAGAATAAACAGTTGATGAAGAATGTGGTTACATTCGATTTGGCTAACAAAGCACAATAATACAAATAATCTAAGTAAGTAAGTAAGTAACAACAAACAATAAGGCAGTTAGCATCAAATGCACTTTTGCTAGGATAAAATCTTCATCAGCAAGTGTGATCAAGTTGACGAATTGCAGTACGAAAATTTATTTAAAAAACAAGAAAGCAGAAAAATACGTAATATGCAATGGGAAAGACCAAGTTTAGTTCATACATATATGTCTACAGTGTTGCTAAAATGAATTTAAAATCTACTGCAATGATCAGTCATTTATTAGTTGGCGGAAATAGTGTTGAAGTTGGTGATAGACTGTGAAACTAATCCCTGAAGCAATCGGACCTTTGATCCAGTTAACTGATAAACCTTTGTAAAGACCATGAATTAGACCTTCATCTCGATACACAAACCGCAATGTTTTATATACACTTTCTGTATATTCTGGATGACCTATAGTTGAGTAGTTTGGTAAAGAGGAATAAAAATACATTCAAAAAGAGACTTCTTATAAAAGAAATAGGTTTAAATAAACAACAACAAAAATCATATTCATCAGTTAACCAAAAATATCTGACCTAACAATTCTTTCAGATATTTTCGCATTTTCTAGTTATACACTGATTTATCTACAAATCCCAGGATATTCACATACAACAAACAGTATGACGCAGAATAATATTACAGTTGAGATAAACAGTATCATAGTACATATAATTCAATACAACTGAATATAAAAAATACTGATTAACCGATCCGAACCTCGCCTAGATTACTAGGTCACTAGTATTCTAGCCGGTCCCAAGCCCGGATAAAGAGGGAGGGTTGGGGCGTGGTGCTAGCAACTCCACCCCCAAAACTTAACCAAATTGCTACGAAAACATCAACGCACAAATATATTCAAAATTCTAAAATTACAAATAGTGACCTTATTTTTCGCTGGAATCGGGGAAGTGAAATGACGCAGGCTGGTGAAAGCCTTCGGGAAGCCAGTCAGCCGATGTGCCTTCTTTCGATGAAGGCGAAAATAAGGATGGGGACGTGGAATGTTCGTACAATGTACGAAGCTGGGAAGGCTGCTCAGGTAGCCGCAGAAATGAGGAGATATAAAATAGAAGTGTTGGGAATCTGCGAGAGCAGATGGAACGGATGTGGAAGGAGCCAACTATCAACTGGAGAGACAATAATCTACTCCGGTCACCCAGAGGACAATCACGAGCACACCGAGGGAGTAGCCATCATGATGTCACCAACAGCGGCTAAAGCTCTCATGCAGTGGGAACCAATCTCCTCCAGGATAATGACAGCCAGGTTCAACTCAAAAGGAAAAAAGGTTACAATCATTCAGTGCTACGCGCCTACAAACGCCTCAGAACATGAGAAGAAGGAGGATTTCTACAGTCAACTACAAACAGTAATGGACAACGTCCCAAAGAGCGACATCAAAATCCTGATGGGCGACATGAATGCGAAACTGGGAGGAGACAATACAGGAAGAGAACTCACCATGGGTCGTGAGGCCCTCGGTGAAATGAACGAAAATGGCGAACTCTTCTCAGACTTCTGCGCCTTCAACGATTTGGTGATTGGTGGCAGTGTGTTCAAACACAGGGATATACACAAGGCAACATGGATTTCACCAGATGGACACACCAAAAACCAGATAGACTTCATTTCAATCTCAAGGAAGTGGAGACGGAGCCTACTGAACACAATGTCGAGGAGAGGAGCAGATGTGGGTTCAGGCCACTATCTAGTACAAGGGACTTTCAAGGTGAAGCTGAAAGCCTCTAGGATACCTGGGGATAGGCCACAATGCAAGTTCAACACGCAAAAACTGAAAGACACAACCACAAAGGACACTTTCACTGCAACTGTCAGAGCAAAGCAGGAAACACTACGTGGCACCACTGAGGAATCATCCGTGGAAGACCATTGGAACTCTCTGAAGGTAATTCTCAACGAAACGTGCTCAACGGTTTTAGGAAGAAAGAAGAAACAAGACAAGGAATGGCTCTCAACAGACACTTGGAAACTAATAGAGGAGAGGAGAAAGGTGAAAGAAAAAATGATTCAATGCAAAGATGGACAAGAGAAAGAGACGCTGAACTCAACTTACACAGCACTGGACAAAGAAGTGAAGAAGAGTGCCAGGAAGGACAAAAGACAATTCTACGACAACCTGGCTACTGAAGCTGAGAAGGCAGCAGGCAAAAGGGACCTGAGGACACTATATCAGATAACCAAGTCTCTATCCGGGAAGAGATCAACACAAGTGAAACCTATAAAAGACAGCCAAGGGAACCCAATTACCAAAGAAGAAAGACAGATTAAACAATGGGCGGACCACTTCAAAGGACTCTTGAACCGACCACCACCTACAACCCGTCCAGAAATACCAACAACAGCACGTACACAACTGCAAGTTGACACCAATCCTCCAACGAGAACTGAAGTCATGAATGCAATCAAGCTTCTGAAAGCTGGAAAAGCAGCTGGACCAGGTGGAATACCCCCGGAAGCACTGAAAGCGGACCCAGAAACGACGGCAGATATGCTGACTCCATTATTGCAAAAGATCTGGAAAGAGGGAAAGGTGCCTACTGACTGGAGGAAAGGTTACCTGGTGAAACTACCAAAGAAGGGCGACCTGGGACTCTGCAAGAACTGGCGAGGAATCATGCTGCTGTCGACGCCAAGTAAAATCCTGAGTCGCATCATCCTGGAGAGAATCAAGGACGCACTGGATACAGAACTCCGACCAGAACAAGCTGGATTCAGGAAAGGCAAATCATGTTCTGACCAAATTGCAACTCTACGCATTATCATCGAACAAAGCATGGAATGGCAATCAAATCTCTACCTCAACTTCATAGACTTTGAGAAGGCCTTCGACAGCGTTGACCGCGAAGTAATTTGGAAACTACTCGAGTACTACGGCGTACCCCAAATATTCATCAACCTTATTCAACAACTGTACGACAGCGGCACATGTCAAGTGATCCACAACGGAAAACTCAGCGAAGCGTTTGGAGTAAACACAGGAGTCAGACAAGGGTGCTTATTATCACCAATGATATTCCTAATTGTGGTGGACTAGATTATGCGTCAGACAGCGGAAAACGAGAAGGCAGAGATATCTAGACGGACGTGAAGAATCTCGAAGACCTGGATTTCGCGGATGATTTATATTTGATGTCACACAAAATCGAAGACTTACAAGCAAAAACCGACAAACTGGTCGAAGAAGCAGCAGAGACAGGACTCCAGGTGAACATAGACAAGACGGAGGTCATGAAAATAACCAACCAACAGCAGCAGCAACATCCAGTGCCAATCACCATCAACGGGAGGGATTTGAAAGAGGTTACTTCATTCACTTACCTAGGGAGCATTTTCTCAACCACAGGAGGAACGGACGAGGATGTCAAATCGAGAATCGGGAAGGCGAGAAACACATTCATCAACCTGAAACCAATCTGGAAATCTTCGTCACTCACCATCAACAACAAAATTCGGATCTTCAATACAAACGTGAAGTCAATTTTGCTTTACGGATCAGAAACTTGGCGGGTTACAAGGAATATTTTCAACAGGTTGCAGACCTTTATCAACAACTGTCTTCGCTCCATACTGAAGATTAGATGGCCGGAAAGAATTACAAACAAGAAGCTATGGGAACAAACGAAACAGGAACCAATCGCCCAACAAATATGCAGGAGGAAGTGGAGATGGATTGGACACTCGCTGAGGAGGCTGTTGAGTGACATCGCGCGTCAGGCCCTCGAGTGGAACCCGAAAGGGAAGCGGCGAGTGGGACGTCCAAGGGTGACATGGAGGAGATCGTGTGAGGAGGAGATGAAACAGTATGGAATAACATGGACGCAAGTGAAAAGTACAGCAGAAGACAGAAGCAAGTGGAGACGTGCAGTTGAAGCCCTATGTTCCACTAGGAACCCAAGGGAACAATAATAATAATAACCGATCCTAGCCATAGAGGTAACTAAGACTGAACTACATATAAAATGACCAGTTACTTACGATAGATGCCGAATGCAGTTTGCAAGGTACACGTTATAATGAGTAGACTAAAAGATTGTCAATTTCATTTCAGCTGAGTCTGTATTGTGAGTTAGAAAAAATTCTGAACCGAAAGATGTATGGTGAATTGCTCACTACCTAGGCCAACGATCTGAGATTTGATCCACTAGGGAGTCCTGAGTTTGCATTTCCAAACCATCGCAAACTAGACAGGAAAAATTGCTTAAAGCTGTTTGTTTTCAACGACACTAGGAGTGATGTCGTTTAATGACGAAACATATACTAGAATAAGCTTAGTGGAAGCATTGAGGATGATTTATAGTACGCAAGTGATGACAGTAATATGTAACGTTTGAAAAGAGAATTATAAAGAACAAGAAATATTGAAGGTTATAGGGGCAAATAAGTTTTGAAAATGAATACGTTCGAATTATTCTCATAATTAACCAAAGTAGACGCAATAATTGAGTTAATCTGATAGCTTTCATTATGCATAAAATATGTAATTATGCATCCCGGAATAGATTACTCGTTACTTGATGTAACGTATAGAAAGTTCCATTTTTTTAATGTCATGTAGACTGATTATCTAAAAAGACTAAAGCGACACTGTTTATTCACTCAGTAATTTTTTCCAGGACAAACTGGTGTGAATAAGTAAAAAAATTAAATTGGCACAGTGGTTAGGACTCCCGCTGACCATGCACGTGGTCCGGGGGTCGATCCCCTCCCGATGCACACCTGATATCAATGGTCGGCCTGTAAAATTGGGCTACCGATATCACATGCTGAAAATTCCATACTTGTACCAAAAATACGGTGTGGAATTAAGCTATGATCAAATAAAAAAAATCAAATCAAATCACATATACGCCTATGTAGCTGTCGTTGGGTTGGTTGGAAAAGCAATAACTAGTTTCACTCTTCAAACACACCTACTTGTTTTGCAACTCAGTAAATCACGAGATATGTTGCTATTTACTGATTATTCGATGATTATATTCATGGACTGAGAGCTCTGTAGCTCAAGTAAGCTGTTGAAAACCATTTTTCCTCTACATGTTCTTTGTTATATATATATATATATAGTGGACTGCAAAAGCTTTACGATTTGCAATTTACAACAAAGAATCTGCTAAATACATACAAGGAGGTGAAGGATAGTGTCAACGTAACAAAACTGATAATTTGTTACAGGATTTCATCATGAGCTGACATCGGCTAGAGAACCACTGGAAAACCTGTGAGTACTGGACAGCTATTTCGTCCTAGTTTGGGACTGATAATTACTAAGTTTGAAGCGGTTGGTAAGGGAGGTACAGGCAGGGTCCGATATACATTTGCACAGATACTGTCAGCCCGATCTCCTCAGCTAAAATGTAGACTAAAGTCAGGGGAATTACTGTTAGTGTGGAATTTGGACAATGGGATAGGAAATAACTGCATATTGGATCAGTCAGGGGAAGATTTCCTTTTTAATAGAAAGTACTACGTGAATGTCACATTTACATAAGGACAACGCTTCCATTGTGGGTAAAATTTATTTTGATAAAGTGTCACAGTCTTATATTTACTGATGACGTTTCGTGCAATAAATTGTGAGACTTTATCAAAATACATTTTACCCACAATGGAATTATACTCTACTACAGTGTACAAGTTCGATTCTTATATTAGAAAAACTCTTCTTTTCTCACCACTTAGTTTTTCCAAACAAACTGAATTAATAGCTGACAACATAATCTTTAAAATTTACAACGTAGAGGCAGACCTGTAATATTTGCTGTTTGCATTCGTCGCCGAACAATATCCAATGGGTATGATGCAGTCTGTCCTAAAATACCCGCTACTGCACCGCAACACAAATTTTCTATTGGACGTAACTTCTTAGGCCGCACACCAGTGAGATGCATTTGTCTGTCTGTAGAAAGAAATGAGGAAATGGTTAGAGTTTATCACATTGATAAAAAAGAATGTACTCTTTGATTAATTATGAGAAATAAATCCAAAACAGCCATAGTGAAGAAAACATTTTCCGATTTTTAAATCAGATAATTTTGTTCATCTTTATTAATAGACTGTGATTCACACTTCGGTAAACACACTTGCAAAAGATCCATGACTGTTGTCCACCGTTTGTGCAACTTTGATTCAATTAGTGAAACTAGCAGCTTTTAAGGTTAGTAATATTGCATTCACTATACAGGCAGGGAAAAATTAACTACAGTCAATTAACTAATCTCAGATTCATGAAGGATGAGTACGGAAAACACATCAGGAATGTTTGGAGTTCCTCTTACACCACAACCGACGATTTATAGGACGAAGTAAAGTATGAGTTTTATCAAAAGCTGTCTAATTTGCTGCTTAAAGCAAAACACTCAGATAGACTCGTTTTACCAGGTGACTTCAATACACAAATAGGGAAGTTGTGTCCCTGAAAAGTACCAATGGAATCCCATACCGACAAACCGATACACCGCTGATTGTCTTTTACACGTCTGTTCATATAACCATCTGCCCGTCGTCAGCACTAACTTCAAACATAAGGAATGACATCGCCTCCATCATCAAATCAACGACAAGTTATGGATAGAGAGAGTACACTTGTGTAAACTCCCATCACGTTCCAGTCCGTGCACGTATAGACCTACGAGTGAACGGACATAAAAACAGGTAGCAATGATGCCACTATACCCCAACTTGATGAAAATACGAAGTTGAAGGTAACACTTTGAGGAGCAATTCAACCCAGCATTTAATAACAGCCCAAATAGGATGTCGACATCTATCCTTCAACTACAACTTAGGTTGCAAAAGTCATCTCTAATCTGAAACGAGGCAAAACAGTGAGACTCGACGGGATGATTCCAGATAAGTTTAGGAACGATGGTGATGAAATGTTGTCGTAAAAACAAATTTAATCATCACAAACCAACTCTTGAAAATTAAAGATAATGTTTCGTAATCAGCGACAGTCCCGTTACCCTGGTGTAAATCATTGATTATCCCGGTTTGTAAAAAGGACACAAGTCTTTCTGTGATAACTACAGTGGGGTAAACTTGACCCATATTATATGCAAGGTTCTAGTTTCAATAATAATGAGAAGCTACGCACCCACCAGGGTTCGAACCAATGACCCTCTAGTCTACGAGCTCGCCTTGTAACCAGGTCCTGGGTTTGAGCCCCAGTGGGTGCGTACTGATGAAGAGTCCCAAGCCAGGACGAAACAGCTACCCAGTACCCCCAGGTTTTTCGATGGTTCTCTAACCGATGTCAGCTCACGATGAAATCCTGTAACAAATCAATCAAAATCCCTACAAAACAATACTTGAAAACAATGAATAGATTGAACGAAGCTCAAGAAAAAGAAACCCGGTTAAAAAATTCAGGATATAGAGCAGAAGAAGGGAAGTTTTATCAGATTTTCACTCACCAATGAACCTTGGAATGTAGGCATAGTTACCACTGTTCAACACTTGGCACAGTTTTTCATCTGGCTCCATAGACCGAGGGGCGATGTGTTAGTGTTTGGCTATGAAGGGAAACCCGTAGAAACATAACACACTCGTCTGCAGGTCTTCGAGTTTGTACGATACTATACATAAATCACCAACCTCAAAATCCAGATCATCTAGAGGCTTCTTATCGGTCCAACGTATTCCTGTCTTCTCATACCCGTGCACAGTCTGACGCATAATTCAGCCCACTACAATTAGAAACACCGATGACAGTAGGCAGCCTTGGTTTACTCCTGTCTTCACTTCAAAGCCTTTGCTAAGTTTTCTGTTGTGAATCAATTGAAATGTGGGATTTTCACAAAACTGTTGAATGAGATAGATAAAGATTCGGGCACTGCACGCCATAATGTTGAAAGTGGTTTCCAAATTCCTTCACGGTCACCGCTGTCAAAGACCTTTTCATGGCCAATGAAGTTGGGGTGGAGATTTGACCACCACTCTATGCTCCGTTGAAATATGATGCCTGGCTATGCGGTTTGGTCTACACACAATCTTATTTTCATGAATCCAGCTTGTTCCAATAGGAGTTTGGCATCCAAAGCGTTGTTTATTCTCTCGAGGATGACGCGAATTAATATTTGACTTGACGTGGACAAGAGCACTATTCCACACCAGTTCTTGCATAGACCTACATCACTCTTCTGTGGCAGCTTGACAAGGTGGCCAACCTTTCTTCCAATCGGTGGGCACCTTCCCTTCCTTCTAAAACGTTTGCAATAATGGCGTCAGTATATCTGCCGTAGTCTCTGGGTATGTTTTCAGTGCTTCAGGAGGAATTCCACCCGGTATTGCCACCTTCCTGGACTTAAGCAGCTTGACTATCTTCAGGACACCTGGTTTCGTTGGAGGACTGATGTCCACTGATAGTTCTTTCTGGGCGTATTGTCCTTGACAATCTTTTATTGATTTCAATTCTGTTGATCTCTTCCCGTATAGAGACCTGCGTATCTGATATGATGTTCCACAGTCTCTCTTACCTGCCGCCTGCCTATTCTTCTTCAGGTCACAGTGTGTCGTAGAATTATCTTTTGTCTTTTCAAGCACTCTTCTTCACTCCTTGATTCAGTGCGATGCACAGTGAACTCAGTTTCTCCTTTTATTGTCCACCTTTGCGTTGGTTCACCATCCTCCTTCCTTCTTCCAGATGTCCATATACGGCCATTCTTTTACATGCCTCTTCTTTCTTCTTACAACGGTTGTACATGTTTTCTTGATCCTGAACTTCAGAGGATTCTAATGGTCTTCCACACAGGTTTCCTCGATGACACTATGTAATGTATCTGACTTTTCTCTGATGGATGCAGTGAAGGTATCTTTTGTAGTTTAGTCCTTCAGTTTCTGAGTGCTGAACTTGAATTATGGTCTATCTCTAATTGCTTTGAAGGTCTTCAGCTTGATCTTCAGGTTTCTTTGCACCAGATAATGGGCTGAGCTCCTTTTCTCGATTCTGTGTTCACCAGGCTGTCTTCCCTTTCTTGGAACCTATCTGATTTTTTTCCATTTGGTGAAGTCCCACGTCGCCCTGTGTATATCCTTGTGGTTGTACACCAATCACTGAAGGAGTAGAAGTCTGCGAAGATTTCTGCTTTCCCATTCATTTTGCCAACAGCCACTGGACCCATGACGAATTCTCTTTCTGTGTTGTTCGCTTCCAGTTTGGCAGTTATATCATCCATTAGGATAATGATGTCGCCATTCGTTGTCTGTAGAAATCTTCCTTCTTCTCTTGTTCTGAGTAGTTTGTAGGCACTGGATAGTTGTAACTTTTTTTCCTTTTGAGTTGAACCTTGATGACATTAACCCGAAGAATATTATTTCCCACTGCATAAGAGCTTTGGCTTTTGTTAGTTAAATCATGATAGCTACTCTCTCTGTATGCTCGTGATTGTCGACTGGGTGATCGGAGTACATTGTCGACTCTCCAGTTAACGATTTCTATAGTCCACATCTACTTAATACATAGACCTGCTTATTTCATTCTGTTGATGAGAATTACTTGATTTCTCTTTTCATCATGTTATTGTTATTCGATAGGTTTGTGTAGCATGTATCTAGGTGCCCATATTTGTGTTTATATCAGAAGAGAATTTAAGGAGGTTTCCCCGTGCTTATCTTATTAAAAAGAGACAAATCCTTACGTAAGAGATTCATCATTTGATTTACAATACGTTTACTTCACACTCCAACTAAATGAAGACGCTAACAAAATAAAGTGTTTCAACCTCCCAATGACTGTTGGAGTTTTCAATATGTATTTCCCAATTCCTAGAGATTAATATTCACTCTATGATTAGTTTTTGTCTCTTCTCTAACAGAGACTGAAATGCTTAAGTAAGCTGAACATTTCATCTGCATGAAAAGTTTCATTAGCCTTGGGCTGTTGGTGATAGAATAAACCTCCTAAAAATGCTCATGATTAGCGTGAAGATTAAGAAATGGATTGTATGCTAAAAGATGGGGGCGGTTCGTAAATCTGTGCAATTAAATTGGCCAAGATAGCTAAAGAAAGCATTAAACACAATGTAAACGAACGTACAGAGCTGAAAGTGATCAGATTGAGGCGCAGAACCATGCTATTAAACCGTGACTTTAAGTTTGAAGCATATGAGAAAGTGTCGGTCAACTGGGTTAAATAACTCAACTAAAGCCGATGGTAGGATACACTACACTATATCACTGAGAACCTGTTGCCGATTCACTCATACTTTATCACCATCTCAACTACATCATGACTTTCCACTTTTTGGGACGCTTTTTGAAACTTTGAGTTTTCCTGTCTTTCTTTATTACTTAATTCTTTTTTTAATACAATGGCAATTCCATCCAAAAACTGTACACTTTTTGATGCTTAAATTACACTAGTAGTAGTGGGTTAAACATTTTCGTTTCTCTACTCCAGTCTGAATTCGAATAGCTGTCCAACAAATGAGCTTCACGCTTAAATAGTACTGCTAATGCAGGTCGACCAATCTAATACATTTGTATACATTTCAGCCTGTTGCTGATCAATCCCCCTATACACACTCTGTATATATAATAAATGCCTGTAACGTTTCAAGTGAAACATGACTCTCAATGACTGAAACAATTTTTTTCATAAAAAACACAGTCAAAAGTCCAAACAGAAGTAATACATAAAGTGAAACAATTTTTACCTAGACGATTTTCTTTCAGTGTTTCGAAAGTGAAAAACGCTGTCCCAGCATAAGGTATAATACCGAGCAGAGCAGGAGAAAAACCACGATACAGTGAGTATATTCCCTCTTCCGTATAAATTGTTCGAATAGCATGAAATAGACTAGAATATCTGAGTAGACGTAAAGCAAACAAAGATGAAGCAAAAAGTATAAAATAACGATTATTAATAGGAGCAGTAACAGTCATAATTAACCCTGGCACCAACAGTGATCATTATGTAGGCTAGGAATTTATCGGTATAAAGGAAACATTTCTGTCTCCAAGGCCACTGCATTTTTTGAAAAGTATAACAAAGAACAATAAAAAAACAAACTGACACTTTCAAATAGAGCATAACCTTAAGTCTAAAACAGCTGACAGTGATTAAAAAATTTTTAAATCCCAACAGTTATTTATCAGATTATTTTGTTTACATTATCTGTCTTTAGATATGAGTATTGGTCAATTAAATAGGGTCAAATTGCTAGTTAATTCATAAGTTTATGTCAAGCTATAACTTCAAACGCCAACCACTCCCTAAAATTACTAGATGACTTACATGTGATGTTTGATTTTCATTTTATCTAGCCCGATTATTTCATATTAGCTGGTAGATGTCAAATACGCAAAGATGAATGGATGATAAATTCGTTTATTAACTGCCTGTTTATCTCCCGACAGAGAACAAATGTGACCATTGAAGACGCTAATTTCTGATGAATCAGAGCTGACAATGAGTTCTCAATACACTCTTTCTAATCGCCTGTATTTAATGAAAATACTGATTAGGCAGTGTAAATTAAGCAAGTATTTAACGGAAGTCATTCATTCAGTATTTCCAATTGTCCGTATTTCATATAAAAATCTTATTGAGGCTCTGGATGCAAGGAAAATCTTTGTAGAAACTATACCGAATCTTTTTTGAATATAATTCTGATAGTGCAGTTTCACTTTTGCAAATTGGGCATATTATAATTTCAAAAAGGCTATGTATTACGGATTAGATCACAAAATGAATTTGTTAATTGTAGATCCTGTAATATTGCCTAGTTGAAACTTTTATGTTGTTAAGTCCAAAGGGTTGGAGACTTATGATAACATCACACAATGTTTTTATAAATCGTTAAATTATATTAACATACACATAAAATAGTTCTAATGTCATTCTACTTTTGTACTCCTTCATTTGCTGTCTGTAAATGTGAACTCTGAATTTGATGCACTTTTGTCTAAGTTTCTACGCTAATCTATTAGTCAGGAAGTCATGCTATTGAGACTAAGTGAGTAAGCAAAATATGTTGTTAAATACAAAAATCCATTGAGAAATGCAATATTCTTAGACTGTTAATATGAGACCCTAAAGACTTTTTTCTGACCATCCTACTAACAAGTACATCTGCAGTTGACTCAAGAGGGCTTTCTCTTTTCAACCACTGAAATCATGCACACTCCAGTGAAAAATTAAAATGAATAACGAAGGAAAGAGAATATATATATATATAAAGCAAATTATGAAGTCATTTGAATATATATTGATTGCTTATAAGTAATAAATTGCGCTCCAAACTTCATTCAGTTATCAATATTGTATCACTAAGTGTTATATAAAATAAACTTATCCAGTGTAGCATCAAGCCTACTCGATCTAACTCAACCTGAATACAGCTTTTAAATCTTAGATAAATATCAAGGCACATGCGTGAAGATTTGGAACTGGTATTAATATAATCATTTTCCGTGCGGTTGATGCTAAATAACTGATGCAAGTATGGATTTGTCAAATGACTCAGAGGCCAATTAAATAAGTCATCAAAATTTAAAAGCTATTTAGAAATACCACTAATTTATTTTATAAAATGATAATAAATGCTTCACTTCCACTGTGAAAGGAGTAAATTCTTAAGCATGTTAATAATAAGAGCCCTCATACAGCCTGTACTTTTGCACGAAGATCTCTTAAATCTGTGCATGTATAACACAGACAATGACTATGAAATTTCATCTAAACTTTTTACATACTGATTTTGAGACGAAATGCACTACAAAGTTCTGTATACTTTAACTTCTAAATTGCTAACAATGATCAAGACCTTATTTCATCTATATCAAGCATAAAAAGCCAGCAAGACACTGAAAATATCCACAGAATATAATAAGTCTGACTGATAAATCAATGTGTACAAATGCACATCAGTCCAAGTCGTCATACTTCGAGAAAGCAGGTATAAAAGTAAGGAAAAAGAGTGTAATGGTATTACAAGGTAGAAACATGAATATGACGGAAGTTAATTAAATAAAAACAAGTAGTAACGTTTGTAGTTCCAGTAATAAATAGTGAATAGGTCTGCACTATTCTGACCAATTTTCAGCTATGAAACAGTCTCCAACTATTAATTATTGGAATTCAGAGGCATGCAGTCAGGGAGCCTACACCTGCTTATGCGTCTAAGACAAACAGACAATGGTTAAGTTTACAACATACTAGATATCATTCAGACTAAATATTTAATAACTGATGAGGGGTATGAAATGAATGATGCCATGGCGATTATATAATTACCAGTAGGATTTCAACAACTTTTACAAACAGTTCATTGCTGGAATACGGTTACAATACTATTCCCTAAACTAAAACACCACACAAGTTATCCACGGATCAACAACTTTGAAACCAGTATTGAGAATCAATAAAGCTTCTTGAAAGATTTATAAGAAATCGAATAACTAATGAGGAACAATACTACATTTTTCTTTGAATATTGAAAGAAAATGAAAAAAAATGTGGAAAGACGTCCAAGTTTCCATAGACTGCACCTACTTACAAGACTGGAAAAAGGAGACACTCCTTGATAACTTTGACAATTACAATAATTAACTATTTCCCTTCGTGCAAATTTCTCATTTTGGCGTTATAGCTATTCCGTCGACCGAGAGGTACTATGGAGATGTTTGGCTGCAAGGGGAACGCCGAAAAAATACACTGCACTGATCAAGGCACTCTGCTCTACTGGAACTCATGCAGCCAGGTGAGAGCTTACGGCGAGTTGTCATCTGAACTGGTGACGACTAGTGGTGCCCGACAGGGATGCCCACTATCCCCATTTCTATTCAGTTTCATCATAGATGTACCAATGGAATTTACCCTAACTAGCTACAGGACTGGACTACATTGACTCCTAGCTTAGAAATAAGGAGTGAATTCGTCGAGCATGTTGACCGCTTCACTTATTTGGGAAGCTGCATCAGTCCCAACGGGTTGGTCGCTGACAAAATCTCAGCACGGACAGAGAAGGCTCGTCCGGCATATGCCCGCCAACTTACGCCATCTCTGGCTTAGTAGACATGATATCCCGCTGGCTGTCAACCAAAGGGCGTGTGTACTGCTCAGAAGTTCGCTCCATAGCCATTGCAAGCGGAAGATACGAAAAGCCTAGCTGTCTTTGACCATAGGTGCCTGTGTTCTGTCTCTCGTGTGAAGTGGTACAATAGGGTGGGGAGTATTAAAGTTAGACGTCTAGTGCTAGGTAAGGAGGGGAAATCAATTGACGTGGTTATGAAGTTTAACCGATTGAGATGGTTAGGACGTCTGTTACGCATTTCTAGCCATCGCCTTTCTCCACGGGCAATGTTAGCTGACATAGGATGGATCAAGTTGGAAAAGAGCCAGAGGTAGTCAAATCAAAGCATGGCCTCATCAGTCAATGAAATCCACGTCAGGAGGTGTAGACTTCCTGGTTGGGGTCCTCAGAATGGTAAGAGCCGACGGCTGGAGACGATCAGTGATATGGCTGAAAATCATTCTCCATAGCTGGTGTAGATGCATCCGCTCCTTGTGATTTATGATATCAAATAAAATTCCATTGTTCTATATTACTATTCTTTTTGCCTTATATTTCTGTTTATTATCTCTCTTAACTTTCTTCTCTTGCTTTGTGTGCTACATGGTGTGGCAACTCGAACTCCTGCACATCTGTGTAAAGTTCTACGTTGAAACCAGTCAGTCAGGCGTTATAGTTTATCGTTCCTTTTGAAGACGTATACAGCTTGACTAATGCATTTATACTACAATTCAAATTTCAATAAGATTACACCTCTGACATTAGTAAACATACAAATTCATTAATCTCATTGAGAAATAGTTTTGTATTCAAAGCTTTATTACAATAAGAAATTGACCACAAACTTGGCTGGATTAAAAATAATGGTTTCGAAAAGTCACTCTCACGTGCCGCAAAAGAAAGCACGATAATTGAATATTCTTATGACCGAAATCTGAAGTACTTTACTATTGTTTGTTACTTATAAAGGGTAAAATGGTGATAAAATGCAACCTATGCATATATAATCCCGTGTCCATCATGTGATAGTCAAATTAACTGTGCTTATGTTCATAACATGTAGGCAAGTGCGAGTGATATATATATATATATATATATATATATATATAAGTTTTAAAGAAGTCAGCTTACAAACCAGGACATTTATATATTTTTTACACATCATTCATGTTTTCTGTAGAGGCGTTGTTAGCGCTATTAATGTTGTACGAATTGGTAATGCAAACCTTACAGATTAACCAACCCCCTCGATGAACTCAACAAAACGAAAGACTTTCCTAGAGATAAGAAGAAACGTCAAAGTGACCAAACTGTAGTCAAATGTTACTCAAGACAGTAGATGACTATTAGTTCAGTCATAGGGTGAAAATACGGACTTATCAGATGGAGATTCAGAAATGACTAGAGCTGATAGTCCAGATAACCTCTGTGAAATAATACAAGGTCGACGATGGTGGTTGGTTATGTGCTAATTCTACTTAGGTTTGTAAGTATGTTACAACAATCTCTCACATAAAGTCAGTAATAATTATTCCATTCGTTGCCTGCTGAGTGGGACACACGCTTTTAAGCTATGAAATTTCAGTGTTGCGATGTTGTTTCCACTGAGTGAGGTAGCTATCCTTACACCCAATCACTCGCCTTTTATAGGCTGATCGCTGACTGGTAAGCTAAGAGGCTTTGGCAGATGCTCCTGTCTGGAGTCGAATCCGAACGTCCCGCGTGGCTGGTGAACATTTTTACTGTTGAAACACTGACGCGCCAAATCAGATGATGCATTAAGAATATTGAGGTGAATTTTCATACAGAGTGACCATTAGTCCCATACTATGAGCACGACTCATTTTAAATCTTAGTTTAGTTTTTTTGAAAACAAATGCTTATGTCGTGTATACCAGTTTACAATATTCGCTTGTATTGTGAAGTCTTTTCACATCTGGCATCTTTGTTTACCATGTTTTGCTGATGAGTCGACTGCTGTGATTTACTAAGAATGACTCTGGTAACCGATTAACTACTCCACCACAATCACTTTCTCCCCATCATTCAATCAAACTGTGACCAAAAGAAAGTACCAATTATTGTTGATTTTTTTCCGCTTCAAATAATCACTGTTCTGTGTCCTGTGCAATCTCAGTACTTACTAAGGAAACACATATCATTTGTGGAATAGAAGTGGGCTATCTCAACATCTAAATAAATTCTCAAAAAGTTAATTGTGAGAATTAAAACAAGTCAGTAACCTACACTACATGTCGAATGAAACATGTTGATTAATCAGTGTATACGTCGAGTTTCAAACAGAAGAATACTCTACAATGTATTTATTAGTCTTATGCAGGGAAAAACATGGCAGGTTTGCTTGCACAGATTTTTCATGAAATCAAGATTTCAGCCACCAAATAATGCACTGTAACTTACATTCAAGTATTGAGGAAAGCGGTTCAAATTCCTCGGTCGATGTCAACATGCATCATAGTAAGGTTGAGGTGTATTGGCGCACATACATACCAGTCTATGAAGGAAGTGTGTGTGCCTTATTAATGGCAGAAATAAAACAAATTATACGGGTCAATTATATGAATACATTGTAGTGTTTACACTAAACAAACAGGTGTCTTTCGTTATATACTGAGTGATTATTGAAATTACTCTGTGATGGGAACTAGGATTTCCGCTTTTGCGATTATTTTTTTGATAATTTTTCAGTCGAAAAGATACAACGGGCAAGTTAAACAATGAACGTGTTATTAAGTCACTCATTTTTAGGTACCAACATACAAACAGTAGAGATGACATTTATAAGCGACAAGCGCCAGGTACTCAAACAGTAATTTCAGTTGACAGAAATCAAATTTTAGAACCACTCACTAACAACATCCATAATAAAATATGGAATGGCTATAAAGATGGTCAGAAAAAGTCAAATGCACTATGTCGAAACTTGCAAAAATAGTGAGGTTGCCTACTAATTTGGCATAAAAGAGTAGATAGATACAATCTGAATGTGGACATACCATTTTGCAAAGGGTGAAAAATGTGGCAAAAAAGTACATATATTGTCCACCAGGAAGTAACCAATGTCGTATATCTTGGCCTGACTCAGTGATGACTGAATTCTATCTGTTTCAATTCGATCACCACAGTGAGTGACTTCCCATTGTGATACATTTACTTGATGTGAGACAGTTGAAAGACGTCATTAATCGAACGTCCGAGACCCCCCTTTATTTTCAACTCATTGGCTCACTTTTTAGAAACAAAAGCAGGTTGAAAACATTAAAAAAACTTCTAAATACGCTAAATTATTCTGGAAAAGTAGAAATGTTGCTCAACAACTACTTGCATTTCCATGCAATCGGAAACGATCTACACCTATTGAGTGAAGGTTAATGATACCACTTGGCTACGCAAACTTTAGTGGGTGGAGGGGGGATTCAAACCCGTGACTCAGTGGGTGGTGATTGAGAGCTTAGGTCAGTAAGTCTCAGTTTAAAAATTAAATTACTTTACCTTACGTCGAATAACATTTCGAGACTATACTAGAAACCTGTATTCCATAATTGGTTTAAACAATATGTTTACATTTGAATGAAAAATACGAAGTTCTTCGATAAGAATAACGAGGTCAGTGGGTATTTTACAGAACGTGACAGATTACAAATGTTTGTAAGCAATGAAGGCATGATATGGACCAGTCAAAAAGACAGACGAAAATAAAGTATTGTACGAGAACTATAACGCTTCAGGTTGTTATACTTTGCAACAGTACAAATGAAGACTAAACAAGCAACTAACCTGGAAGAAGTTGTGACGGCCATACGTGCTCTAGCAACATCAAGTGGATACGTGCAGATAACTGACGTTGTCCCAGCCCCCGTACCCGCAAGAAACCGTCGCAGTTGCAAATGTGGTAACTCTCTGTTAAATTATTTCAAAAAGTTAGTTATATAAACAGCAGATATTTAGTTTGTAATTAAAATAAACAAAAAGTGCTAGAGCGGCTTAATCTAATCTGAATCATCACTAATAATGGGTTCTCAGGAATAGAAAAGTGAGAGGTATGGTGATGCACAAATTAGCCACATAGGCTGCAAAAACATTTATGTGGCACTAGGTGGCAACTACTTTATGGATATTTAGTAGCCTATATACATCGGTTTCAAAAGTCAGATTATCATTTATACTTGCGCGGATAACAGCTATCGAAGTTATGCAGTCATGTAAGAGCTTATGGAAACACCACCAAAGGGTGAGAACGAGTGATGTCCATCACGGATACCAAATATCACCATTATTTAATTTAACTGGGATGCACTCATGGTTGCGATCCCAGTCGACTTAGACATTTCAGGGATTTGTTTATTACTATGAAAGTTCCGTTGATCCAAATTATACACATTATAAAGTAATTCTAGGTGAAGACGTTGATAATTCTTTTGGACAACAGTACATATTTGAGTGAGTTTAGCATGCGATTCATCCTTATCAAATGTAAGACGATGCTCCAGGACTAGTGCGTACCAACTCCTGGTTTAAGGATAGTCAATAGTCAGTGCTCCAGTGCGCTGATCACTTCATTCGGAAGTCACATCAGACTTGAAGGAGTGACTGATGACAAAACCTCAGAACGGATACAAAAGGCCCATCTGGCATTAGTCTAGCTACAGGTATGATATCTAGTTACCTACTAGAGGTTGAGTGTACTTTGAAGTTCACTGTAGTTCACAGATGAGACGTGGCTGCTGACAATGGAAGGTATGAAGAGGTTTACCGTCTTTGACCATAGGTATCTGAATTCAGTTCTCCGTATCAGGTGATATACAGTGATCAGTAAAAATAAGGTTGTGCATAGAGTATAAATTGAGGAGATTGGTTTGTTACGCCTCGGTGATTCGGCATGTTACCCATGCCAAGCGATCACCTACGACGAGTAGTGGTTAACATGGGATTAGTTTGGTGAATGCTTACGAGTCATCAAACAACACAGCACTAATCTATGAAGTCTGTAGGAAAGTGTAAATTGCTTGGATACTGTCTCTGATATGCTAAGAATCAATGGATAGTAAATATTAGGGAAATAACTCGTTATTTTTTTCAATGGTGCATACATATTCACATGCTTTCCCATCGTGAATTTGTGAATGCTAGCTGGACTTATCCTGAATATGTTGTCTTCCATTAATCTTCGTTTACTGTAGTACCATTACATTTGTCCTCTCCAGTTTTGTTTCTTTGCGAAGTACGGTGACTAGGACTGGTGCACTTCTGCTCAGAGTTTTATGTTGATAACACACAGCTGAATGTCTCTATGAAACCACCTAATGACGCTAATTATAGTAATTAGTAACGTTTCAAATTAAGTGAAATATTCTTCACTTCCAACAGAAGTGACGTATGCACTGGAATCTAGCATTTCGTTTGCACTTCAAGCGGTTAAAGGTACAGGATATAATTTACTGAAATCAATAATTCACATTATTATATCTTATTTTGATTCTGTTATGTACTAGTATAACCCAATTTCCCTTCACACTGTGTTTAGTAATTTGTCTCAGACATTTCATTTTTCGACACACTGCTACGTTCTTGGCCAAATTTAAAAACTTTGTTCACAAATTTTCGATAGTGCTGAATATCCCATTAGGGCATTACAAGGAAACACCGAACAATTTATATGTTTTACCTGATGTCAAATGAGATTCAATTTAAAAAGAAAGAATAATAAGTCCAATTCACTTGAAATCCATGACAAAATCTGTAGCTTTCTTTGATTGGACACTAGTAACTAGTATGATGTGTCTAGTCCTTTCTTTGGTGCAGACTGAATTCTGTCAGTCAGGTTTACAATGTGGCCACCATTCTAGGTAGCTCACAATCACGATACATACTGATTTGATATCAGATGGTTGGAGGCAGTTGGTAGGAAGCCAAGGTAATTTTAAATGCCACCTCAACCTATTTAGTCCTCAGATTTTCCCTAATTAGAAAGGAAGTATAGTAAGGAAGAAACAATAATGTAAAAAAAATAAGTTTTTGATGTCGGTGTCAATAATCACTTTAGATGTTTCCTTGAGGATTTCAGCTTGGGAGATTAAGAACGTAACATAAGTGATCTGTGAGAACCAGGGTCGCATGATACAAGTTTAACTTTGATTGATTTCAAACATGTGAATTAAATTCCAGACATCGAAAACTCAGTATGTAATTAGTTTATACAGCCGGGACTCAGAATGCAGTTACTTTTCCGGCAACATTATGAAGTATCAACCTTGTAACTACCAAATCAAATTAGTTAGTTGTATCTCACACCTTTCTTATGATAAGAGGAAGTGGCATTTCAATCTCTTTCCATCATCATACCGACTTAATGTTGGCTTACCGCATATTAAAGGGTGATTTAGGGATTGACCTTTCAAACCTTTTCTCTCTCTCTCTCTCTGGTATACATTTATGAGGTCACCACAAGAAGGTGCTAAAACCGAGGTCGAGCAAAATACGTGTGGAATTTAGATTCTCTCACAGAGTGGTAAACGACTGAAACTCCCTGCCTGATTTAGTAGTAACGGCTCCATCGGTGAACGCTTTCAAAGAGAAACTAGATCTCTACAGAGACCTACATCACAAGGATTAACATAGACAGCAAGAGCCTTCAATCCTTATAATCTGAATCTGAAACAACTGATTAATTCTGAACAAGGAAAACCAGTAGGTTTTTATTTCGTTTATGTTGCGAGATTACCATAACCTGTTTTAGTGTTAGTGCAACAGTAGAAACCCATAAATTCCAATGTACTGTCATTCACAACCGATTATTACTGTGACAAGAAAATAATATGTAACTCACGAATGTTCAACTAAATGGATTCCGAGTAGGTATTTGTAGTGTTCATGAGCCGAATACTGAATAGCAGCATAGGGAAAAATTCTGGCGAGTGTTGCTGTATTGCCACGCCATAGACATAAGAAACCATGTTTACTGTAGGTATCTTTAAGAAATTCGATGAGACTACGAACATTAAACCGCATACAAGTAGCTGTAAATTCAAGATGCTAAAATCGGACTTACACTGAAAGTTGATTTTGGCTCGGTCAAGAGGAGCGATAGTAGTCTTCGCAACGCATCCTGCTAAACCACCAGCCAGAAGGTTTAACCCGAATGGAATTCGTATATTTGGCTTGAAATTATTTATGTGAGACTAATTGCGAACCTACATCTTCAGGCATAAATCTACCTATCCAAAAGTAATAAGAATGGCCAATCCACCAGAACGAAAGTCAACCGTACATCCTGACCTTCAACTTCAAAATATGGTCAGACCTTGATGTCCTCAATAATGAATTATTCAAAATCGTATTCAGTAGCTATAACTACAGACAACACGTTCCAGAAGCTCACCGTGATTTTCGGGAGCTTATTCTGAGGTTCCAAAGACGAGAACCAAAGTGGCCAGATGGCTAAATATAACGCTTGTTTAATTCTTGTGTTCCGAGTGGGACACATCTTTAGTTGTCCGACTTTATACCTTTTTTTTCCTGCCACTACTTTCCTCTGGCTGTACGAGTGCCTCAAACCTTTCAACTTCATCCTCACATTGTTTTCTTCATAGCACTCTTGGGCACCCAAACTGCCTCTTCCCATTTAAGCTTCACTTGAGCACCTGATGTGTAGTGTCACTTTAATGCCTCCAAAGAGTACATCTGATTCACCCGATTTCTTTCTGTATATTTGTTAAGTAAAGTTCTAATGGCCTCACAGCTTCAATAATTCCATGTTGCTTGTTCTCCAATGGCGGGAGTCTGATCTGTAACATGGAGAGAAAACTAATGGAGGTGGAATTTTGTAGTGTGTTAGAAATGTTTCAATTCTCTGAACCACACACTAGAACTGACGTGGGGGCAGTTTTTTAAATTCAGGTGTGCCCCCTTGTGGTAAGCATTGCAGAACTTCAGAGTGATGGGTATCTGTCTCATCTTTAAAATCCCCATCCATACTATCTACCTGTAGCTGAAACGTTGCTGCTGGGGGAGAATGAAGGAGATGACTTCCTTTAGACTGTTTCCGTCGCTAGTTGTTAGTGTTATCTGTTGTTGTTCAGGTATTTCCATCACTTATGTCTTCTGTACGTTCGCTCATAGTCCTGTCTTCTCTGCCTCTATTTTCTAACTTGTTGTTTTCGGCTGATAAATCTTCGAGTTTATGCGGCATGAGACACAAATCATCTGCGAAATCGAGATGTTTTGTGGTGTTGTCACTAGCTCAACGCATATTCGTCTCCCAAATTTTCACGTGCGGTTTACAACATAATCCAATTCATCACAGTCAAGAGTATCATTAGTTACTGTATGCAGTCTGTCTCATTCCAATCTTAACTTAGAACGATTCGCTGAGCATTCTGTTGTGAATTACCTGAATGAGGCTAATGAAAGTTCACAGCAAGAATAAAGGATACTCGAATCACCAATCTGTGTTCTGCTTTTTCGCGTTGGTTAGTGCACATTGCTGCTGAAGGTCTTCTAAGGACTGCGTTAAGTCTAGCGTAGTTAGACCTGGATACTGACAGTAATCACATGGACTTAGTTCTAAACTCCATCTTTGAACCACAGCAGCAGGTGATCTGTTAAAAGATTTTTCTGGATTGTAAATGAATTTCAATGCTTGATGATCAGTAACTATTTGAAACTTAGTCCTAAAGAGATCCTTCTACAAGCGTTTTATTACCAATACAACTGCTAGAGCTTCTTTGTAAGTTTGCGAGTACCCTTGTTCACTCCTACTTAGACGTCTTGAAATACAGATAACAGGTTGTCCATAGGAGAAGCATGTGTAGCGAGAACAAACTTATCTTTCGATGGAAAAGGTCTTAAAAAAGCTTGTTTATTAACAAACTCCAAAGTTTTTCGCAAGATATACTCATGGTGTTATTCCCACTTAAATTGTTTACTGGAGATAATATTAAAAAGCGGAGATATCAGTTGAGTGAAAGTGGGAATGAATCTGTAGTAAAACTGAAGAGTACCAATTCAAGATCTCAACTACAACATATTAGTAAGTGAAGGTGCTTGAATTAGAGGTGCCAAACGACTAGCATCAGGTCTACTGTGTATCCCAAACATGATACAGACGACAAAGTAAAATGACATTTAGATGGATTAACAAGAATATTTTTCTCAAAGAAACGCCTGAACAGATTCAAAAGACGTTCATTATGCAGTTCGATGTTCGGACCATGAACTATAATGTCTTCTTGGTAAAACTCAACATCATCTAATCCATCTATCATTTGATTTATTACTTTTTGAAACATTGCAGGTGAAACCTTTAAACCAAAAGGGAAGAACTTATACTTGAGCAATCTCAATGGAGTATTAATGGTTGTTAATGCACTAGAAGCTTCGTCAAGAGGAATTTGCAAATAAGCATCTTGACATATATTTTGGAAAAGTATTTTGACCCATTTAGCTTGTAGAGGATGTCTTCGGTTTCTAGCGTGTAGTGCAACTTTGCTGTAGTCTATGACTATTGAGTGTAAGGCGGTAGTAACCACAAGTTCTCGGTCTTTCCTCTTCATCCTTTAGTGACGTTACAATGGGAGTATCCTAATTCGAAGATTCAACTGCCATAAACATGCCCTGCTCAACCAACTTGTCTAACTCCTTCTTAAATACATCTCGCAAACAATATGGAATTAATTGGCGCTTTAGGAAGACAGGATCACCCTCTGTCTGAAGACTGATGGGCTGAATCTTCATGCCACAAACACCCTTTGAACATCGAAGGACTAAAGGGGATATTCACAAAACCACCACACTCTGATTTCAAACCAATGTTAGTAGTACCAGTAGGACATAGTTTATGACCAGTTATGCCTGTAATGGAACTAGTAGTAGGACATGCTTAAAAAGCGATAGTAAGTCTTTCCTGGAAATTATAGATTCAATACTCCCAGTATCAATTATAGAACAGGGAGACTTGCCTGAACTTGTAGTGAAGGTTCTCGTTAGATGAAGTCCAGTGATGTGAAAAGTTGAGAGAGACTTTAACTGCATTTTACCAGACAAATTGGGAGAATCATGAGTAGCATAAGTATCTGAACGCCTGCAAACAGCCTTCATATGCCCAATTTTACCACATTTATGGCACTTAGCGCCCTGAAGACGGAAAGTGCTTCGTAGGTGAATCTTTACACAGGAAAAGCAAGGTTGGATGTTTTTGCGCTCTGTCTGCATTGCATTACACACAGATGAATGTTCAGAATTTTTATGAGCGCCTCTTTATCAACTTTGGACAACACGACATCAGACACCGACGCAGTGGGAGCTGGATATTCACTGTTGACAACTTCATTTGTAATACACAAATCATTAGCAGTTTGAAAGGTGCAGGAAGGAGTCTGAATCAACGCTCTCTCTAACTTCAGAATATTGATCTTAGCGTTTAGACGATCACGTAGTTGAGTATGAACCTGATCTCTGAAATTGCACTTTGAAGCTTGTATCCAAAGCTGAAGAACAAAGTCTCTGATCTTCTGGTTATAAGCACGAACAATTTTGTTGAAATGAACCCTCTCTCGCGTTTCAAAAGTAGTTATGTGGAAGTATTGAGTGAGGATATGTCCTATGACGATGTGTTTTCGCGCATTGCATAGGTTATCGCGTTCACGCCTATAGAGACGTTCTAATCGCTCAGTATTGTGAAAATAGATTATATTTGACTAGTTTTAGGCTTCTGTAGCCGAAAAATGCAATATTTTTCTGTATTGTGTTCGTAGTAATGCGTAAAATTATCATGACAGCCTGGACGAATTACTAATAAAAAAGGTCACCATTTTGAAGAAATATCGCATAAAAAGTGTATTATTAGGGTTTTAGAGCATTGAGGCATTGTTTTTTGTGAGTTGTTTCAGATCTTAAGGTTGTAAATTGACTGCGGGCAATGGCTGTTGTCATCCCAGTTATTCTATGAGAATCGTGCATTTGAGAGAGTAATAGCCTACAAACATAAGTTAGATGTGTGTTTTGAGGATATTAGACACTTCTTTTATCATCTGTGATGACTGAAATATTCCATAGCACATGGAAGAGATCATGCGATGAATGAGACAGGCTGCTGCATTTCCTGGTGATTATATCTACTCTGATGAAGTTCCCATTTAAAATTGATAAGGCGAAGATATTATACTAGTTTAATTGACATTTGCACTCGGAATGTCGGAAGGCTTTAATTGTTCATTGTCAAAAATGGCATCAGATTATGTTTATATGAGTGTGCATTGGGTCACGAAGAATAGTGTAGGTGGTCCTCATGAAATGTCAGACTACTTAAAATTAGTATCAACTTTCTGTCGATTAGTAGCTAGATGTGTCCTACAACTACTGCACCTGCTACATAAGTTATCCCAGTCTTAACTATTGTTCGTGTTCATATCACTAAGATATTCCGAGATCCTTAATGAATTACTTGTGGCTATGAAGGATATGGAAGAAGCACTTATGGCTCATATGTTTAAATCATTTATTATGAAAGAAGTTATCTGTAGGGATTTTGTGATGTTCAGGTTACAATGCTTGAGGGTATGTAGTGACTGCATGCTTCTGTGCGTGAAGGAAAAGTTGGTTAAAATGAAGATGTGATGAAGTTTTCTGTACAGTGTTCATTGTGAATGGTTTACAAGTTAACACTCATTGTTTGCTTGCTGCTATACTGTATAAGACGAACAATCTCTGTGTGACATTAAAAACTACAGAACAATGCTGTCATCACCAAAGAATGAAAAAGGAAAATGAACCTTTTTCAGCAAAGGTATGGAAATACAAGTCGTTTAACTTTAACATTACTTCTTCCTTACTTCAGTGATTTAAAAACATACACTTTGTTCACTTATTTACAGATATCCGGTAATGTCAGTCAACTTGGTCACAGCAATTCAACATGGGCGAAATAATTACGAAAAATAATTGTGTAAAGACATTTGCTTATTTTTTTCATTAAATATATTTAACATCCTGCTTACAATACTTTTCTTATTCTATCTGAGTGAAACTAAGGTTTTTGCATGACGATGCAGATGTCAGACTTATCAATGATACTTGATGATTTATTTGACTGCATAATTAAACGTAAGCGAAATGTTACTACGACTGCTACAGCTCAACCTACTTATTTATTTGTTATGTGTAAACTTGATTTTACAGTATACGTTAACACCCGCTATCATAGGGACTGC